GCATAGACATATATATTGTACCTAAGCATAGACATATATATTGTACCTAGGCATAGACATATATATTATACCTAGGCATAGACATATATATTATACCTAGGCATAGACATATATATTGTACGTAGGCATAGACATATATATTGTACCTAGGCATAGACATATATATTGAAGACAAAAAGGATGTCACAGAGCTCGATCTGATTAGCAAGACTGATGTTTATAATATTTGCGGTTTAAAAGTGTGTGTTGTACTTGCGGTATAAAAGTGTGTGTTGTACTTGCAGTATACAAGTATGTGTTGTACTTGCGGTATAAAAGTGTGTGTTGTACTTGCAGTATACAAGTATGTGTTGTACTTGAGGTATACAAGTATGTGTTGTACTTGTAGTATGTGACGACTTGCCAGTGGTCAGTAACTTAACGGCAAGGAGCTATCCAACGGTTTTACAGCCCGTGCAGTTCCCTACAGATTTTGGCATTGGCAGACTCGGCAGTACAGATACGGTGTGGGTTATCACTGCTGCTGAGAGGAGGAAGATCATCACTATCAGGGTAGGCTGTAATAACAAAACAGATCTGTATTTTAACATATATTAATCTGGATGATCTGCTATAAATTGCGAAAAAACCCATCAAATGCCCTTACTAATTGAACTGCTTGTTACCGGCTGTCATCCGGCCCACCTAAACACCTAAACATATGGCGTAATTATATTTGGCTTCAGAGGGACATGATAGACCTCCGGATAGGGGATACTTTGACCATCCGTGATGGCAGCTCTGCTTCAGGGGAAATGCTGGCCATGTATTCACACACAAATAATGACAATGGCATGACTTCGCCAGGTTCTGACTCTCCAGCAGGCGGACCCCAGTTTGTGTTCTCCACTGACCACCAGATGTACATCATCCTAAGTACCAAGGATGCTGTGGCAGGCGTTGGCTTCAGGTTCAGCTACTGGCAAGGTGAGCATGAGCTGTAATCATTACTTATTGTTAAATATCATGTGTCATGTATTGGCATTATTTCAGCCTTTCACTACAGGATTATTTATGTCAAAACATTGAACAATTGATGCATAACCCATGTTTTAAATGACATTTAATTGACTCACTATGTTGATGGGTTTGTGATTTGTTACAGGATGTGATGTCGTTATGAACAGTGATTATGGGGATATTTTCTCACCTGGCTACCTGTATGATTTGGATTATGCTAATTTCCAAACGTGCACCTGGAGTATCAGTTCACCTGTGGCTGGTAGAGGTGTAACTCTCTTCCTTGACACTGAGTCATATTTAGGCAGCGACGATTTCCTGGAGGTATGCATCTGTTCTGCTTGTTGAGGACCATATGCATATGTATGGTAGCAGTATACAGTAGAGGGTTGTGGCCATGGGTGATATTTTTGTTAAATGGCTAACCCCTGTATAATGATATGTAAAAAAAATAAAACTGTACTAAAATTGGTATAAGCATGATGAAGTGGGCAATGTGAGCTTCACATTTGTAAACAAAAAGAAGATTGTTTTTGGTTCGAGGATACAATTTTGGCCATAATCCGAAAGGGTGCCTATACACAAAAAGCTAGCTTTACAGGAGGTAAAACTTTGACAACAGCACATGACGCAAAATTGCAAAAAATAAAGTTTTACAACTTACTGGGACCCAGATAATTCTGCAACCAGGTAGGTAATCTTTAATATCAGACAGAACTTAGGAAAAAAAATACTAGTTTCGGGGGTCAAATTTTGGGTCAAAATAGCAATTTTTGGCATTTTGGGTAATTTTTGATGTGATAACCATGGTTTTCACACAAGTGACATACATAGAAAAAAGAGTTTTATACACTTCTCAGTACTTTATATGTATTGTAAATGTAATGCAGTTTACAAATCTATACATGTATACATGTTTTGTGTAGGGTAAATCCGCTGTGTTTACATTTCCTCGACATGTGCCTTGTTTATCAGAGTCGGGCCATTTCTACTGTATACTACTACCTATGCATAAATGTAATGCAAATGTATACAGAAACATACAATTTTATCTTGCGAAGACTGTGTGCATCGTTTTGATATGTATACACATTGAGGCTATCTTCAGTCGACTAGTTTTTATGTCTAGATTTCATTTTATGTTCAGCTTAATTATTATTTTTTATTTGATCCTACATAAAAACTGTTGTAATCTTTCCCAGATATTTGTGGACAAGAACGATGACACGGGGACCTGGGTCCATGATAATGTAACACATCCAAAAGGATTTGATAACGCCAACCTTCCGCTGGATCAACCTATACATTCCAGTAATGGCCAGCTCTTCCTCAGGTTCACCACCAACGCCATACTCCCAGCTAAAGGATTCCGGGCACGCTTTTCTGTTGGTTAGCTATGTTTTAAATGACAATTTGTACTATGTGCTTTTAATTTATAGCTCATCTGCCTAAAGGGCAAGAGATCTTACGCCATGGCGTGGCCTTCTTCATTCGTTCGTCCTGCTTCAATTGTTTTACACAACTTTCCTTCTGACATACCAAAATTACTTGGCTCATGATATTTCCATAACCTTTGTTCAAATAAATGACGTGGACCCACATTCAAGTATAAATGAGTTAATCTATCTAGGCCTTTCGACAGCTTCTTCTGGATAAGAAAGAGGCCCAGTCATATAGTTTTTGCTTATACATGTAGCATGCGGGGCTGGCTTTGATTCACTTCCAACGTCACAAAGGATGAAATGTATTGAAACATTATAACAGATTTTTTCTGAAAATTCAAGAAGCAATTTAATAAGTTGAAAAGTTTAAAAAAAAGTTCTTCTAAGAGAGACATAGATGATGGTGTTGAACGGTAATCAAACCTGTTCAAAGGAAATACTTACTTTCACAACCACTGGTGTCAAATGTTCGCCAAATAAACGAAATAATAAAGGTCCTTACACCCTTACAGAGTAAAAGGCTTGCAGGCATAACACATTCACAAATGATCGGCAGTAGTGCATTGCAGAACGCACTTACCTAAAGACGGATGGGGGTTCGGGGTTGACCTGCCCTACCACGTAGGTTTTCTCCGGGAATGCTGTTTTCCTCCATCATTAAGACCCATGCTGGATTCGTGAGCAATTAATATTAGTGGATAGATTTTGTTTCCTGAATTCTGTAAAATAAAACATAAGTATACAAAAAATCTAGACAAGTATGCAACAGTAAAACTCCTTAAGTGTTAAGTGATCAGTGAGATGGAGAGCAGTGAGATGGAGAGTTGTGATATTTAGGCTGCATTGTTAGCTTTATATTTTTGCTATCATTTTTTTTTTAATTTGACCTTGCCGCATTCTGAAAGTAACAGATGGGAGGTTCGTTTCGAAGCAGTTTTTATAAACTGGTCAGTGATACGTGTCCATAAGGCTGTTAGTTAAACAACATCTAAACTGTAACTTACCCGCACCCATCCAGTTTCTGACCACGCACAGCGTTGCTGACCTAGTGAACGCATGTCATGGTTATCGACGCATCGCTGGAAAAGCATGCTTTATATTGAGGGATTTCTCTGAAATCTTGTTTGTTATAGAACTTATAAAGTGATATACTGACATGTTTTTCCTTAAAGGCAAAAAAGAAAATAGCCCCCAAAAAACATAAAACTACAAAATGGATCCCAAGTGTACATTATATTTTGTTTCAACAAATGTTAGTGTTTTCAACAACAGAACCACAGAACCTGTATCAGTCATCTCCTATACATCACTAGTACATTACTAATACTGGGTATTACAAGTGTTATGAATATGCAATGGAAATGCAATATTCAAAGTCGGTTTCAACAGAAGATTAAATCAAGCAGTATGTGAAAAGATATACTCATAATCATATCAGGGTAAACATGTTTATATGGTATTAGTTGAACCCTCAGTATTTCTTTTACTTGACAGACTGCCAGAACCCTAACTTCAATGACAATTACACATCTGTCACTGGGTCAATGCGCTGGCGGTATCGGGACACGGAAGTGGTCACTTGTAAGGCTGGTAACACATTCGCTGACCAGCAGTTCCAGGGCAGTTCTACCTCACAATCAATGACATGTCAGTTCACAGGAATGTGGAGCACTAACGTCATACCACATTGTAAACGTAAGTCCATATACTACACAGGAATATACAACATTGTCAACGTAATTCCATATACTACATGGGAACATACAACATTGTAAACGTAAGTCTATATACTACACTGAAACATACCACATAGTCAATGTAAGTCTATATACTACACTGAAACATACAACATAGTCAATGTAAGTCTATATACTACACGGGAACATACCACATAGTCAATATAAGTCTATATACTACACTGGCACCATGCCACATTGTCAACGTAAGTATATACTACACTAAAACATACAACATAGTCAACGTAAGTCTATATACTACACGGGAAGCTACAACATTGTAAACGTAAGTCTATATACTGCACGGGAAGATACAACATTGTAAACGTAAGTCTATATACTATACGGGAACAAACCACATTGTCAACGTAAGACTATATACTACACGGGAAGATTCAACATTGTAAACGTAAGTGTATATACTACACTAAAACATACAACATAGTCAACGTAAGTCTATATACTACACGTGATCATACCACATAGTCAATGTAAGTCCATATACTACACAGGAATATACAACATTGTGAACGTAATTCCATATACTACATGGGAACATACCACATAGTCAATGTAGGTCTATATACTACACTGAATGATACCACATTGTCAATGTAAGTCTATATACTTCACGGGAACATACCACATAGTCAATGTAGGTCTATATACTACACGGGAACATTCCACATAGTCAATGTAAGTCTATATTCTACATGGGAACATACAACATTGTAAACGTAAGTCAATATACTACACTGAAACATACCACAATGTCAACGTAAGTCTATATACTACACTTAAACGTAAGTGTATATACTACACTAAAACATACCACATTGTAAACGTAAATCTATATACTACACTGGAACATACCACATTTTCAACGTAAGTGTATATACTACAAGGGAACATACCACATTGTCAACCTATATACTACACTGAAACCTACACTAAAACATCCCACATTGTCAACGTAAGTGTATATACTACACTGAAACATCCCACATTGTGAACGTAAGTCTATTTACTACACTGAAACATACCACATACAACATTGTCAACGTAAGTCTATATACTACACTGAAACATACAACATTGTTAACGTAAGTCTATATACTATACGGGAACATACAACATTGTCAACGTAAGTCTATATACTACACTGAAACATACCACATTGTCAACGTAAATCTATATACTACACTGGAACATACCACATTGTCAACGTAAGTGTATATACTACACTGAAACATGCATCATTGTTAACGTAAGTCTATATACTACACTGAAACATACAACATTTTCAACGTAAGTCTATATACTATACGGGAACATACCACATTGTCAACTTAAGTCTATATACTACACTAAAACATACCACATTGTAAACGTAAGTCCATATACTACACTGAAACATTCCACATTGTAAACGTAAGGCCATATACTACACTGAAACATACCACATTGTCAACGTAAGTGTATATACTACACTGAAACATACCACCTTGTCAACGTAAGTGTATATACTACAAGGGAACATACCACATTGTCAACTTAAGTCTATATACTACACTGAAACATACCACATTGTCAACGTAAGTCTTTATACTACACTGAAACATACCACATTGTCAACGTAAGTCTATATACTACACTGAAACATACAACATTGTCAACGTAAGTCTATATACTACACGGGAACATACCACATTGTCAACATAAGTGTATATACTACACTGAAACATACCACATTGTAAACGTAAGTGTATATACTACACTGAAACATACCACATTGTGAACGTAAGTCTATATACTACACTGAAACATACCACATTGTGAACGTAAGTCTATTTACTACACTGAAACATACCACATTGTCAACGTAAGTCCATATACTACACTGAAACATACCACATTGTAAACGTAAGGCCATATACTACACTGAAACATACAACATTGTCAACGTAAGTCTATATACTACACTGAAACATACATCATGGTCAACATATGTCTATATACTACACTGAAACATACCACATTGTCAACGTAAGTCTATGTACTACACTGACACCATACCATTTTTTGCACAGATGTCCATATCCTACACTAAAATATATCACGTTGTGGTCAATATTCCACACGGAAACATATCATATTGTCTACGAATGTAGACCTACCCAAATGTCACAGCTTACATCCATGATTATACCACATTGTAAACGTAAGTCTATATACTACACTGGAACATACCACATTGTCAACTTAAGTCTATATACTACACTGAAACATACCACATTGTCAACGTAAGTCTATATACTACACTGACACCATACCATTTTTTGCACGGATGTCCATATCCTACACTAAAATATATCACTTTGTGGTCAATATTCCACACGGAAACATATCATATTGTCTACGAATGTAGACCTACCCAAATGTCACAGCTTACATCCAACGCTATTACATACCACACTGTAAAAATTATTGCTTATTTTGAAAACCCTTTTTTTTTTTTTTTTTTTTAAATGATATATGAAATCTTATTGTTACAATGGTTTTGTACAGAAACAGTGTTTTATTTTGTAAAAGGGATAAATAAACATCGCTTTAATCATATTGTGTTTCTGTATATATCACTCTTTTGTTGAAAAGATTGTTTTGTGGAAACCACTGAAAAAGTTGTAAAAGGTATAGAACCAATCTTCCTGTCCAATTGGTAGAAAATTATGTTGACAAGTTGTTGGTTGAAGATAAGATTGTGTTATCTTTTTTCGGTATTATGCTAAATACTATTAAGCAGAAGAATATTAGGAGATATTTATGTGGTGTTTCTGTTGCTTCATGTAGCCGTCGGTAAAGGAATATATTAAATGTTAATTTTTATTAGAAATCGTTGGATTTTCCACTTAGTAGATGTAAAATATGCATTTATCAATTGCCTAAAAGTCACTAGATAGGACAAGCGGAAGAGAGATGTCGGATACCAGAATGCAGAAGTTAAAAGAAAAGTGAAATGTGAATTTTTGCTGTGTTTTATTGTTTAACTGTGAAACCGCTCTTGCTGATTTTATAACTTTGTATGTGAAACTTTATTTAAATTAAGCTTTACGCAAATTCCTCCATACTTCAAACAAAGTAACTCCGAGTTTGATCAAACACATTGGGCTAAGTTTATGACAACATTATGCTTATTTCAATTATCATTTTGAAGTAAGTGTCGTTCATAAACTATTGTTTCTTGTTACACTATTTAGCTGTTTACTGCGGAATGCCTTCAGTTATCGGTAATGGATTTATTTCGAGAAGTAATGGTGTGACGCACAACTCCTACGCTACCTACCAGTGCTATCCTGGCTTTACCTTAATTGGCAGTGAAAAAGTAATCTGTACTTCAACAGGCATGTGGACGACGCTTCCATCCTGTCGGGGTAGGTGTGGTTATTGTGTCTTATTTCTGCATGAATAATCTTTCCTTGTTGTGTGGCTCTTATATTTGCAGGAAAAAGTCCTTGTAGCGGAAGGAATGTGTAATCCTTATATGTCTGTAGAAATATTTTTGTGTTGACATGCGTGATTCTTATGATTTTTATGATAAATTAAATGTACACAACAACACACACTGGACTGTTAAAGTTTACCTCATCGTAAGCATTTCATCATATGATCCAGTACATCGTTTTTGTAAAATATAAAAATTTGAAACAAACTATATCATATTCTACTATACAATATTTTGACAAAATGCCCCTTTATTTTTTTAATATTCAACTTCAATTTAAGTAGGTAAATGTCGTGTTGATAAAAATTATATACTTCGAAATCTGGTTCATAAACATTTGTGTGATAAAAAATAAAATTAGTTTTATTACATCTTTCTATATTTAGTTTTATTACATATCTTTAAAATTAGTTTTATTATTACTTACAATTGTTTAGGTGCAGTCTGTCCACCACGAAGGAGTTTTACGTTTGGAACAACAAATGTTACAATGGGTGTTGACCAACAGTATGGAGCCATTGTTGCTTATGAATGTAATCGTGGATATGAAATAGTTGGGGAGCCCATCATCATTTGCCAGTCTAGCAGTCAGTGGTCCAGTGAAGTACCTTACTGCAGGAGTAAGTTTCTGCTGACACTGTGGCATGTTAGAGCATCTCATGGGTTTGGATGTTGTTTCCGATATTTTCATCATATGAAGGTGGTAAAAAGGACATCGTTTATTATATTTTCATCACACGTGAATGGTTAAAACCGTTGTTTACTGTAATATCATTATGTATAGAGGATGTAGAAAGGTATTTTAATGAAATCTCTTTATTTATATGAAGCCAATGTTAATGTAACAATATTTGTTGTAGAACTTTCCTGTGTAACCCCGGAAGTAAGGAATGCTAATCCATTCGTGTCAAGTCTTGAAGTTGGATTGACACTGACAGTACAGTGTAAACCTGGGTATGCTTTTGGAAATGGCTTAGACTATGGTGCCAGTTTATGTGAACCAAGCCTGCAATTCAATGTAGACATCGGGCACTGTTTAAGTGAGTAATAGAAAACAAAATAGATAGAATGATGTAATGTATCTTATGAGATCATTTGCATGATCGCTATATCATCACTAATGATACATAATATTATATTCTATATCAGACTTATTTATATACATTATCACGATGTTATATCATCACTAATGATACATAATATTATATTCTATATCAGACTTATCTATATACATTATCACGATGTTATGTCATCATCAATGATACATAATTTTATATTCTATATCAGACTCATCTATAGCTATATATATTATCACGATATTATATCATCATTAATGAGATATAATAGTATATTCTATACCGACTGATATATACACATTATCACGATGTGGATGTTTAGACTAAAAGCTAAGCTTGTTTGTAGATGTGGATTTTTAAACTTATCCTATGATTTATTTGTTAATGTGGATGTTTAGACTAAAAGCTAAGCTTGTTTGTAGATGTGGATGTTTAGACTTATCCCATGATTCCTTTGTAGATATGGATGATTAGACTAAAAGCGTGTTTTTTTTCCAAATGTAGATGTTTAGACTGATAACATGCTTCCCTTGTAGATATAGATTGGTAAGGCTGATAATGACCGACTTATGACATCGTTTGATCGTAGAAGATATTGATAAAGATACCTTGCTTTGTTTATAGATACTAATGTTTAGACTTACAGCGTGAGTTTTTTTGTTGATGTCGATGTTTATTTTTACAGATGTAATGTTTCGTTTGATAGCATTTCATCTTTTGATACTAAAGCATACATGGTAAGACCTTTTTTTAATTTATTGTTTGTAGATAAGGATGAATGTTCTGGGACAAACATTTGTGTTCAAAAATGCGTTGACAATGAAGGGAGTTATACCTGTGCCTGTAACGACGGCTACATGCTAAACTCCGATGGCCGCACATGTTCAGGTATTTATTTGTATTTTGTTAATGACGTTTGATCCAGTGATAGATCTTATATATTAATTTGCTTTTTAAATCGTTCAGAGGGAGAATCGGTACAGTGAAATAAAAAAGAAAGGAATTTTTAAAGCACTTGCAATAACAACTATCGAGATCTCCCTTAATAAAATTAAAGTCATTTTCGGACCAAAATAAATCAGCAAGTTATTAAAAATATCTTTTATTCGCTCCGTTCGAATTTAAGTGTCCAAACCCAATAAAACTGTAGCCGCTAAGATATAGTCTGATCCCAGAAAACATATTTAGCTTGATGAATTGTTCTTCACAGTAGAATTTTTAAAAAAATCTTTTTTTTTTCTTCAAAACAATTCTCTCCTCATTCATTTTTCAGCGCTTACCAAAACTAATTAAGAAAATAACACTTTTTTAAGCTCTGCTTTGTGACGGAAACTGTGCCATTTTATGCAACATCTGATTAAAAATCGATCAAATCATGTTAAACGTATAGCTCGATATAGGTTATTTATCGCCTGTATTGCTTCTCTTTACTTGAAGAATATCAGTTGCAAGCAGGGACCTCGGATTTATTTTCTCAAAATCGTTATTCATTTTTTTTCTATTAATTCCCTTGAATTCACGTTTTTCAGGATTGATTCTTTACCATAATTAGCCTTCGGTTATAAGCTAACCTAAGGGAAATTCGATAATGACAGAATATTTCATGAGTTAAACTTTTTTTCTGTTTATGTATTTTATGTTGTAGTATTGATTTCTAGTGACTGTTTATCTTTTTGTTATATATTGTGTATACTATGGTTCATGCTTCCGCCTTGGAAAGGACGGATCGCCTCTAAGATTTTACCATTTTCTGTGTCTGCACAGTCGTTATTCTTTGCCTTTATGACGTTTTAAGCAGTTTGTGCAGTGCCACTATAGATCATATTGTCGTTATGAGACCTAATTCAATATATGCCATTAAATATAAAGCTACTGCTTGAACATTACTATTAGAGGTCACATGCAGTTTTGGAGTTATTTAATTCCTGTAATACTTTTATCATTTCAGACTACATCTAAGTTTTTTCAGTGTGTCCTTATTTCAAGGGTTTTGGTTAAGATTGTCTCCGTAAAATGTTACTGACAACAAAATATTTCAACCTTTTTTGTAGACATCAATGAATGTGACGTAAACAAGGGAGGATGTAGTCAGAAGTGTAATGACAATGCTGGCGCGTATCGATGTTCATGTGATCAGCCAGGGTATGTGTTGTTCTCTGAGGACGGTACGTCTGGCTACTACATCCCAAATACTGAGACCGGGCTAATGTCGGGGGATATTTACCACCTGAACCACACATGTGTCCGTAAGTCAATACCAACCAGCACCACCACGGCCAATGTCAACGCCACAGCAGAAAACCAAACCACCACTAAAACCAGAAACTAAACCACGTCCACTGAGTCAAACAAAACCTCCACCAATACCAAAACTAGAACCTTAACCACTACAAAACAATAACACAACCACGACCAACAACATAAAAGAAAACAATAATTTGAAATATTTGAATTTAGATATGATAAGCAAAGAAAAACAATGAATGAAAACAACATAAAAGAAAACAATAAATTGAAATATTTGAATTTAGATATGATAAGCAAAGAAAAACAATGAATGAGAGCCATCCTATGTGAGGACCCCATATTGTTTAGGGGACTGACTCCAGGGCTCCCCAACCCTGGCAGTTCCAATCAAATTATATATACATATCTGTATATACTTAGGGATATATGTTTTGGGGGAAAATAAGCATAAAAGAAAACAATACAAAATCAATAACCAAAACCACAATACAACTAATACCAGGACCAAAACATAAACCACTAAATAAACCAAATCCACGACCAATACTAAAGCTAGAACCACCTTCAAACAAAACCAGAACCACATGTAATTTATTATGTTAAAATATTGTAATCTTAACTTTCAAAAGTACGAAACAGTGTGCACTTCTATTATGCGGCTTGGAGCTGAGTGTACAATCAATACTTGAGTGGAAGACTATAGAGTTAACTCATAGGTATCACGCTCCAGACATTGTATCCTTATTTGAAAGCAGATCTTTTTAAATTTTAACCGCAGAACATAAATGATTTGAATTATCGGGCAATGTTTTTAACTGGTTTGAGAATTATCTTGAAGATAGGAAGCAGAGAGTTCTATCTGAAGGTCATTTTTCTACTTTTAGGGTTGTTAATGCCGGTGTTCCTCAGGGATCAGTTCTCGGTCCTTTTTTATTTCTATTATACATTAATGACATCACTGGTATAGTCCAGAGTAACATTAAACTGTTTGCAGACGATACATCATTATATGTCATCGTAGACGAAAACCCACAACTAGCAGCAGATTATCTTAACCAAGACCTAGATAGAATTAACAACTGGGCTAGTACATGGGACATTAAATTTAACCCCTCTAAAACCAAATCACTATTTTTTTCTAGAAAAAAAGAACCTATCCATCCTCTAATTAATTTCTCTAATACTTGTGTAGATAATGCCCATGATCACAAACATCTTGGATTAACTTTTTCTGAAGATGGCACTTGGTCTACCCATGTTCAATTAATATATGAAAAGGCTAGTAAAAGAATAACAATACTTAGGTATCTGAAATATAAGATTGATAGGAAATCACTATGCAAAATATATACAACATTTATCCGCCCAGTGCTTGAATATGCAGATATTGTCTGGGACAACTGCTCTGACAATCTTAAAAATTTATTAGAATCTGTACAACTAGAAGCTGCAAGGATTATCACAGGTCTAAGGAAAGGTACATCACACCAAACTCTATATAAAGAACTAGGTTGGGAATCCCTGTCTGATCGAAGGATGAACCATAAGCTAACTCAGATGTATAAAATAACTAACAATTTATCACCCACATACCTCCATGACATAATTGATCCTCTTACTCATAACCCAGAAAATGATAGGTATACTCTAAGAAATGTAAGAATGTTTAACCCACCACTATGTCGTACAGAATCCTATGCTAAAAGCTTCTTCCCAGTAATGTGCAACAAGTTCAATGGACTTGAAAATGATATAGTACATTCCCCTACTCTTAATAAATTTAAGGCCAAGGTGTATAATAAAATATGTTGTAATAATGATATCTCGGATGTATTTAAAAATTGTGAAAGCAGAAAGGGTAACATAATCCTATGTCAACTGAGAAATGAGGCGAGTAACCTGAACTATGATCTATTCAAAGATCACTTGAAAGAGTCTCCATCTTGTCTGTGTGGTGATGCTTATGAAACTGCTACACATTATCTTTCACAATGTCCAATGTATACTAATGAGAGACAAACTTTAATAAATGAGATTTTTGAAGTGTGTCCGGTTAATCTTGATACTAAAACACTTCTTAATGGAAGCACTGTGTTAAACAATACTGAAAATAAATCTATACTTGATAGTGTTCTTAAATATATATACAACACAAGAAGACTTGTTTAATCAATCAAAACAATCTATAAATTTTGTTATATATAGTCATAACTGATAAAATACTGTCCTTAAACCATTATGTGATTATACTGCTTGTTATATATACATTGATGTTTTAATATTATACAACTAAGGGATTAAGCTTTGTGTGCTGTTTTTACTGATGGGTGCAATAAAGTAAAACATAAATGTGCTAAGTTTGAATGCTTAGTGTTCTGTGGTTTAATCTGGATTCTTCTCGAGTGGATGATATGTGAACGGTAGAGGCCGTTAGAGACTTTTTTGTCAGAAACTCGATGGGATGAAATATTTACACAGAACACTGGCAATACATCTTACACATATACTACTTTTTCAAAATCTTCTAGCTGAATTGCCTCATTTTTTTTTCATTTTTTTTTTCATATTTTATCACTCCTACCAATGATATATATATTGATACTAAATGGTTCTATACTTCTAACTACTTCATGCAACAGCAGCAGGGTATGAAAAGGGGGCACTAATGACTTGCAAAACAAAAAACAAAAAAACAATTGTAGCAATTTCTCTGTTTAATATATCATTAAGGCATTGCTTTCCTATTACTGATTAATTATGATTGACTTTTTAATATGAGAATTGTATAGCTAAAAATATCAATCAAATATTTATATGTAATTGAAACATACATGGAATTATCTCCCCTATACCATCTGCTATATATATATATATATGTCTATGCTACTTATTATATATGATCTGCATCAATATTTTCTTACAAACCATTTCATTCATCATGTCAACCTAAGGAGAGAACTTATATAGGCCTAGCCTGCTGTTCAATCCTATTGTTTACTCAATAAAATATGATGAAATGAAATTTGAATTAAAATGTGTAAATGATATATATCTACATATTTATATATATTTCACAAGCTTCCTCTTATTGTGAATTACATATATTTCCATTTCTATCCATTACCGGTGGTTATTTGAATAAAATCTATTTTATTATGGAGAAATCTTGCTATATGCCATAAGCTTGATGATCACTTCAATTGCTGGTCAATAAAATTTGTTGAAATTGACAAATATCAAAACCAGAAAAAAACTACTAAATCCAAACCCATCATCAATACCGAAACAAGAACCGAACCCAAACCGACACCAAAACAAAGCGAAGCATAACCTTATCTAACCTGTTGTCATTGAAATAAGTCTTAACTGTCTTTAACCGGTACAGCCATAATGTATATGGTATTTAAACCTTCTATCTGGAATAGTCATACCATAAAGAATAAAAAGCATTTTACCTGTTGCTATATATAGGTTTGGCATGCAGTGATCCACCCGACGTGGGTAATGCTCGACTGATGTCAGGGAGGTCGATCCACCGTTATGGAGACAAGATTGAGTACTTTTGTGATCTTGGGTATGAGATGAGCGGGTCGTCTATCCTGTCCTGTACCTCCAATGGACAGTGGTCATTTGCCTTTCCCACCTGCAATGGTATGGTACACTCATATTATTTCACTGATGTGTTTAGTGAGAAATTAGGAAAACAGGAAGACAAGAAAGGAAAATTAATGTAGAGCAAACAAAGAAGAAAAGATAAGACATAAGAAAGAGAGGATAGTAGTTTCTGTCTGTCTATCGGCATAGTTTTTGAACAGAACGAAGGAGAGAAATATTGCTTTCAGTTTGCAATTGTCTATCTATCCCATATGTTTTCCATACATAAGGAAGAGGGTGATTCTGGTTTAAGCGTGGCTACCCTGCAAACTGAAACTATATTACGTTTTTGTAAATGAATTCCTACAGATTTGATATTCTATGACCCAATGGTCAGAAGATCGGTATTGATGTTATATCAGTATCTGAGATCTCAATTGAAGCTATCTTTGTATACGATATTGGTACCGATGAATGTTGAAACAAGGACTGGGACGGATGAACATTGTTCAGTTTGGATTTCCATGTAAGTATTACGCATTGTTTCAGTGGCCAACTGTCCTCCTGCTGACCTGACAGGAGTGGGAAACATACCAAACCTAAATAGCTCAGGCCAGCTGTTATATGGAGAGGTGCTTGAGATGACATGTACTGTTAATCAGCCCAGTAGTTACTCGTCATCACGACAATGTCTTTACGACATAACAAGCAATATCTACACACTGGTTGGTGCTCCATATGGATGCCCAGGTGAGCTAGCTTTCGCTACATATTTGTAATTTTTCATGCTATGTTTTTTTTTCTGCAGTTGTCCACTTGCAGTTAGTTATCATTAATGAATAATTGAACTCTGTTTACAGTAATTCTTTTTTTGTTTTGTTTTTCACATTAATAGAATCGTCCCCTACCACCCGAAAATTGCTAGAATCAAATGCACATTTTAGATAGATATATCCTCAGCTGATTTATCAAAGGTGTACATTTAAAACTCAACTGTCATCTATTTCCCATTTTGGAGGGAACAAACTTTACTAAAACTTGTATAGAGTAACTACATGTTTGGTTTATTCTTTTTATTGTTATTGTGGAATTATTGTAAAATATTGTCTTAAAGAAACTATTGCGCTATGAACTATATCATTACAAATGTAATTATGTATCTTTATTTGACGATTTGACTACCAAAGGATTTAAAATCAAGTATATATGTATATATATATCTTATAGTGACGGATTGTTACTGACTAATTTTTGATTTCAGTGATCGACTATCATTTTGTTTTCAGGGATGGACTCTTACTTTGACTGTGATCAGCTGTAATTGTTTTTGTCAGTGATCGACTATTATTTTGACAGTCATCGATTGTTATTTTGACCTTGATCGATTGCTATTTTGACTGTGATCGACTATTACTTTGACTGTGGTCGATTGCTATTTTGACAGTGATCGAGTAATGTTTTGACTGTGATTGATTGCTATTTTGACAGTGATGGACTGTTATTTTGTGTTCAGTGATCAACTATTATTTTGTTTTCAGTGATCGACTGTGGTACCCCAGATCAAGTGGCTGGCTCTAACTTTGTTATTGGGAACACTGTGTATGGTAGCTCCTTCCCCTTTACCTGCTCACCACGTCAGGTCCGTGATGGTACGAGTGAAAATGGTGACACAAATGTGAGGTGTAAAGCTGATGGGAAATGGGACTTTGGAAGTTTGCAGTGTGTAGGTAAGTACATGTGTAGTACAGTTTTGAATCTCACAAATTATTTAGCTCAAATCTGATGAATCGATAAAAAGAATAATTTATTTGAGTACTGATGCTTTGCAAGTACTTTAAACTTGTTTTATTACACCATATCGTACACTTGTATTTGCTTATCTGGATTGAAAATACGAATTCACTTTGACATGACACTGTCTGTTTAATCGTTCAAAACTTTTCTGAGTAGACAAAATGTGTAATTTCTAATGTCAAATTATTGACTGAAAACATGAAAATGGATGTCAAATTACATCAAAGAATTCAAAGGTTTTATATGCCGTTCTTGATCTGTGTGCAATCTCGTTTTCTGAATGAAACTTTGGTGCTTTGTGGATTTAATCATGGCGATCCATTATCGGATTCAGTACCAGAACTGAGAGGAATAAAGCAGATTAATTTTATCAGTTCATTATTCTAAATCTCGGATGAACACCTGACGGTATTTTCTAATTGCAAAGTGTCTAAAGGGAAAGAACTATAAAAAAAGATATAAAGCAAAAGATCAGAAAGAATGGCAGGCAGACTGAAAGTGCAAGGATGAAGAGGTCAAGACGAATATGAGAAAATGAAGAGACTACATAATAGAAGAGGCAGACAGAGCAGCACTCAGCTGGAAATGAAACGTTTTATGAAGTGCCAAGAACACCAAGTGAGGAAACAAAATGACCGTAATAAAGGAAAAGGAAGGAAACATCCTGAGTGATGAGGATGATTGTAAGAAAAGATGAAGAGATCACTTTAAATAAGCCCTAAATAGACATAACCAGGTAAATCCTAATGATTTTATAGACAAACGGAAGGTTTTCAAGATGTAAGGTCCTATTAAATAGAAATATGACCAGGAAAGCCTTGAACTGGATGTTCAGAGATACATATGGTATTACAGCGGAATACCTCAGAGCAGACCTAGACACAACACCAACAAACATTGAAAGACTATTTCGCGCAATTTGGTAACAAGGAAAACACCAGCAGAACAGAATGAATGACTAACATTTAACGTTTATCTGTATACGACAACTAAAGGGCAATAATACTGTTGTCCTTGTAACGAAATATCTTTTGGGAAATGGTTATCTGACCAATGGGATATATGTGATTGCGTATCGGACCAATGGGTTAGAGGTGATGGCGTATTGAGAGAAGGGAAATGGTTATCGGACCCATGGGGTAGAGGTGATGGCGTAGTGAGAGAAGGGAAATGGTTATCGGACCAATGGGGAAGAGGTGATGGCGTATTGAGAGAAGGGAACTGGTTATCGGATCAATGGGGTAGAGGGGATGGCGCATTGAGAGAAGGGAAATGGTTATTGGACCAATGGGGTAGACGTGATGGCGTATTGAGAGAAGGGAAATGGTTATTGGACCAATGGGGTAGACGTGATGGCGTATTGAGAGAAGGGAAATGGTTATCGGACCCATGGGGTAGAGGTGATGGCGTATTGAGAGAAGGGGAATAGTTATCGGGCCAATGGGGTAGAGGTGATGGCGTATTGAGAGAAGGGAACTGGTTATCGGATCAATGGGGTAGAGGTGATGGCTTAGTGAGAGAAGGGAACTGGTTATCGGACCAATGGGGTAGAGGTGATGGCGTATTGAGAGAAGGGGAATGGTTATCGGGCCAATGGGGTAGAGGTGATGGCGTATTAAGAGAAGATCTAGTTGGGGTTTGTAGAGGTAGGAGCACGGCAGAACAATTGTTCGCACTCAGATATATCAGAATGCATAATCGAAGTCACCCTTTCTAAGCAACTGTATGGACTCCCAAGAAAACATTTAGCACCATGCATAGAGAAAGTGTTTGGAAGATTGTAGCGTTGTATGGAATTCCAGACAAACCTACACACATGATGAAACAGTTATATGATAACACTGCGTGCGCCGTAGTGAAACAGTTATATGATAACACTGCGTGAGCCGTAGTGAAACAGTTATATGATAACACTGCGTGCGCCGTAGTGAAACAGTTATATGATAACACTGCGTGCGCCGTAGTGAAACAGTTATATGATAACACTGCGTGCGCCGTAGTGAAACAGTTATATGATAACACTGCGTGCGCCGTAGTGAAACATGTATATGATAACACTGCGTGCGCCGTAGTAAAACAGTTATATGATAACACTGCGTGCGCCGTAGTGAAACAGTTATATGGTAACACTGCGTGCGCCGTAGTGAAACAGTTATATGATAACACTGCGTGGGCCGTATTAGAAAATTCTGAAGAATATGAATGGTTTAAAGTAATAACTGGAGTGAAATATGGATGTGTTAGATCCGCATTTCTAATTACTGTTGAACGGATAGTGAATAATGCAACGAGTGACAAACCAATTGGAATACGAAGGATTATTACCCATTTGAGAAAAATCTAGGAATCTGATTGGTTAAAAACTACAGTGTACCAAACCGCATTCGTAAATCTCAGGGGGTAAACGAAAATCTCAGGGGGTATACGGTCATCTCACGTGATTCTCAGCAGTAATACGGTGCCATTACGTGATTTTACAAGGGGTAAACCGGTCACGTGTCTTTGTATCTTGCGACCGAGCATCGGGAGACAACTCGCATTCGTCGTCTGCTTCGCTGTTTACAAAATGGCAAAAAGTTTCGCTTCGCATACTGATTAGGAAATACTCGCCAAAAGGGCTAACTATGTGCCACATAACACACAAAAGTCGAACAGACGAGCGGCAAACATGCAGAGGACGTATTTAAAAGAAAAGAATCAGGAAGAACAGTTCGAGGAATATGATAAAACGAAACTAAATGAGGTACTGTGTCATTTTTATCTTGACAACAAACAGAAAAGTTGACGGGGAACTGTACAAAACCAATATAAAAGACTCAAAATGGGTATTAAATTCGTTACACGGATTTTTGGCAGGGTATACGGGATGATATGACCCTAAAGGTTTCGTATTATCGGCCTCGGGAAATACGAAACCCTTTAGGGTCATACCATCCCGTATACCCTGCCAAAAACCCGTGTAACTAATAACATCACAAAAAAATACAACATTTATATTTTTTAAGCAATTTAGCCTCATCGTTATCATGGCACCAAGATCTACAAAACACACCAAATTGTCTAAAAACAAATGCAGAAAAAGTGGGCTTCAAAATCGACGTCGTAAAAAATGGAGGTACTAGGGATACATTTTCAGTTCTGTATAGAAAGGAAACACGAAAAAAGAACGAAGGAGACAAGAAGAAAACATAACACCTTTCAAAAAGCATGTTTATCGGAAAGAATATCAAATTATACAAGAGGAAGGTAAATCCGAAATGGGCAAGTCAGTAATAAGGTGTACGTTGACATGGATTGGCAATATATTGAAGATAACACAGGATCTGTGCAACTTCACTATCACTTAGTACAACGAAGAGCGGGAAGACCAAGAACGACATGCTAAGGAAAGTAATAAAGGAGGTCGGGGTGACGCGAGGACAATGGCAAAAGACAGGATGAAAAGAAAAAAGTGGCGTCATGCCTTATGTGCAAAGGGTATGAGGAGGAACTTTTTGTTGTGGTGAAATGTAATTGCTCGTTACTTATATTTTGGATTCCAATGAAGCTGGTTGATGACTATGTACAATTTTTATTGTTGTCATCATGATTTCATGTGGAAAAAGGATATTTCTTCGCGGGATATGACGGTTGATGCTTTTGATGATCCTCATGTGTGTGTCTCGCTGTTTCGTTAGCACTACTCTGGTCCTTGGACGTGTTTTTGACTTAATTAACATCTTACATCGCTGAAGCAGACGACGCTAAACCTTCCGGAACATCTTAGTTTTCTCTTTCTTGTACTGTTTTATGGGCCTCCGTGTAAATCGGTTCATATTTTGACCTGCTTTCATCGATTCTTAATTCGAATCGTGGTCTTGTTGACACTTCGTTAATGTTTAGTAATAGTAGACTATTTGGGGGGAAATATTCACCATTAAATATTACTTCAAAACCAGTACATATTTCTAGTGCGGACTCGAGATTTTATCTACTGTACTTGCGAGCGATGAGAAAATTGTTCAAACGACAAACACTGAAAATACTGTACGATAAACTATTTATCATCCATATACTACTACCTTATATATTTCTCCTTTTTAAAAACTCAACTAAACACCATGTTTTCCAAATGACTTTTAAACTCGATGGTCAACGATCGCCTGTGACAAACGTAAACAAATATAGGTTTTGCTCGGAGGAATACAATGAACCTTTAAACTACGTAGAAAAAATAGTTTTAAAACAATTTTATCGCCATTACTTTTCCATACGCGGATCACCTTTGTGTGGAAACTATTTGGCGCGAACAGACGTTCTCCTTTTGAGAAAATACGTTCCCAAGTGCTGGGGAATAGGAAAATCCGTTCTCAAGTTGTTCTAAAGTTGTTCTCAAGTCGTTCTCAACTTCTTCTCATACTGACAACCCATGATAATGTATGTATCACGCTACCGGTAGGTGGTATAAAGTAGTATATAGATGATGAAATAATATGTAGAAATATGTGGCATATGGTAGAAGTATATCATGTAAAGTTCTGTTAAAAGGGTCAACTTATGCATCAAATAATGAGTGAACAATGTAATAGAGGTTTTAGAACCTAGTTTCTAGTTGTGATATTAGTTCGTTGGTAATATATATAAGACTTAACATGAGTTTCTATTTCATATGAGATTTATGGAACGAGTCTAAGAGTTATTCTATTTCGCGAGTCTATGGCTTGCTAAAATGAAAATTTCGTGACGAGTTCATTAATTTCGTATAAAATGAAAACGACTGTAAGATCCTTGTTATCGCATAATCAAGATTTGTGGCATTTATTTGAATAAAACGACAATTTTTATGCAACCTTGAAATGTAAAAAGCCGCCATTTTGACTCAAAAGCATAAGTCTGTGGCGTCATATACCTGTCCTTAGCGTGACGTCACACTTGAATCAATTAAAACTTACACCCAATCACAGGGTCATATTACATCGGTTAATACGCCAAAAAAATATGACACGGTATATTCACTGGATAACACGGTACATTATGTGATAAAATGTGTTTTTACATTTTTTTTTATGTAGATTTACATCTAATGACAAATGATATTTTTTTTGTGTTTCCAGGAGAAACATGTGATGATCCTGGTAATGTAGCAGGAGCTAGCCAAAACTCGACCAGCTATCAGCCAAACGCTTTGGTGACCTTTCAATGTCATCGAAATGGATATGAACTAACCAAGAAAGGTGGCATCAGATGTGTCTACAGTGGAAACAGTCTGGAATGGGATGACACTGTGCTGCCCAGTTGTGTTGGTAAGCACATGTGTCACTAATTTAGTAACGGCATACAGAGGGCTGACCATCTACTACCCGTACTGACTCTATACTACACGTACTAACCCTATACTACCCGTACTGACCCTAAACTACACGTGCTGACCCTATTCTACACGTACTGACCATATACTACACGTACTGACCCTATACTACAATTACTGACCATATACTACACGTACTGCCCCTATACTACACGTACTGACCATCTACTACACGTACTGACCCTATACTACTATACTACCCGTACTGACCCTATACTACACGTACTGACCCTATACTACCCGTACTGACCATATCCTACACGTACTGACTCTATACTACACGTACTAACCCTATACTACCCGTACTGACCCTATACTACACGTACTGACCCTATTCTACACGCACTGACCATATACTACACGTACTGACCCTATACTACACGCACTGACCATATACTACACGTACTGACCCTATACTACACGGACTGACCCTATACTACACGTACTGACCATCTGCTACCCGTACTGACCATCTACTATACCCGTACTGACCCTACACTTCTCGTACTGACCCTATAATACACGTACTGACCATATACTACACGTACTAACCCTATACTACACGTACTGACCCTATACTACCCGTACTGACCATCTACTACCCGTACTGACTCTATACACGTACTGACTCTATACTACCCGTACTGACCATATACTACACGTACTAACCCTATACTACACGTACTGACTCTATACTACCCGTACTGACCCTATACTACCCGTACTGACCATATCCTACACGTACTAACCCTATACTACACGTACTGACCCTATACTACACGTACTGACCCTATACTACCCGTACTGACCATATCCTACACGTACTGACCATATACTACACGTACTGACCCTATACTACACGTACTGACCCTATACTACACGTACTGACCATCTACTACCCGTACTGACTCTATACCCGTACTGACCCTATACTACCCGTACTGACCCTATACTACACGTACTGACCCTATACTACACGTACTGACCCTATACTACACGTACTGACCCTATTCTACACGTATTGACCATATCCTACACGTACTGGCCATACAATACGCGTACTGACCATACATTTCACGTACCGACCCTATACTATACGTATTGACCCTTTACTACACGTACTGACTCTATACTGCAAGTACTGGCCCTATACTACACGTACTGACCATCTGCTACCCGTACTGACCATCTACTATACCCGTACTGACCCTACACTTCTCGTACTGACCCTATAATACACGTACTGACCATATACTACCCTTATTTACCATTCATTACACGCACTGACCCTAAACTACAATTACTGACCATATACTACACATACTGACCATATATTACACGTACTGACCATATACTACACGTACTGACCCTATACTACACGTACTGACCCTAAACTACAATTACTGACCATATACTACACGTACTGACCATATACTACACGTACTGACTCTATACACGTACTGACCAAATAATACACGGTATGACCCTATATTACACGTACTGTCCCTATACTACACGGTATGACCCTATATTACACGTACTTACCCTATATTACACGTACTGACCCTATACTACACGTACTGACCCTAAACTACAATTACTGACCATATATACTACACATACTGACCATACATTACACGTACTGACCATATACTACACGTACTGACCAAATAATACACGGTATGGCCCTATATTACACGTACTGACCAAATAATACACGTACTGACCCTATACTACACGGTATGACCCTATATTACACGGTATGCCCCTATACTACACGGTATGACCCTATACTACACGTACTAACCCTATATTACACGGTATGACCCTATACTACACGGTATGACCCTATATTACACGTACTGACCCTATACTACACGGTATGACCCTATATTACACGTACTGACTATACACCTGACGTGCCGATGTATACGCTCCCCTTATACTAAGGTACCGTCATGTTCAATGCTCTTAATTTAGTGCCCACTTTGTTTGTTCTCATATGCACTGTCTATCATTAAGCGTTGTTGTAGCATTTTGTATGTGAAGTTAATTTTCATAATGTTTTACGTGTTAAGAAACAACATATATCGGAAATGTATTATTTATTTAGTATTCATAATGACAATTTTCAGACACTATGAAGCCTACGGTACAGTACTGCCCCTCCGCACAGAGTGTGGACCCCTACAAAACTGTGACACTGGATCAGCCAATATTCACAGACAATACAGGTCTCCGATCTGTCACTATTTCCCCTGTAAATGGAAACACATCATTGGTCATAGATGGCCTGTCTGGTAGCCGGAGTGTTGTCTACACTGCTACAGACCATGCCGGCAATGTCGAGACCTGTGCCATTACTGTGTCTGTTAATGGTAAGTTTGTTCACCCTGATGTTGTAAACTAACCCTTTTAGTCTAAATATAGTCAATGGTTATATTTTGGAAATAATATATCTTCCTTTCTGCAATATCTCGGTCTTGACGCCATATTTGAATGCTTGATCCCAAACCACATTTGTGATTGACACACAAACAACGTGTGTATACTAGACAAATAAGGATGTAAGTTTTTGTGTAACGCAGGTGTCAGTTACATCAATTTAAACATACAACAAGAGTAATATCACCGATTTGTATGACGCACAGAACAAGACAATTGGCGTTTTCCTTTAAGGTTTCCTGTCTAATTAACCACAGAATTTAGCTTTGGTTTAGTATGTGATCAAAAGCACACGAAACCTGTTTTCATTTTTTTCAATTAATTTTATTGTCCCACAGCATTTTGCTGGAATACTGCCAGGGTTGGGGCCCTGGTTTCAGTCTCCTTACATAATTGTCTCCATGCAAGAGGGCTCTCATTAATTCATCCATCCAGTCATTCATTCATTCTGCCAATCACTTCAAATTATTTCATAATAATCATAATAATAATGATACTGGTACCTGCTATCATTACATGTAAGTTTTACCTCCAACTTAAAAAATGGCTGAGTTTAGTCTGAGTCAATAGTTGGACCAAGTTGACCTGGAGGCTGATACACGGGGCCAGTTTGAGTACTGGAGTAACCTTTTACAATCTTTCTCCATACAGATACAATAATAATATTTATTGCTGTTCCCTTCAGTACTGATGGGTTAGGGTTAGGGTTAGGGTTAGGGTTAGGGTTAGGGTTGGAGATCTGAATTTTAGCTGTCTTGGACAAAACAGACTCAATGTTGTATAAATGGAGGCCATGGCCTCCCTAGAAACGGAGAAGTAGGATCCAATAAGGGAAACAGAGGTAAAACTTTCAGATCCTTTTCCTTTCATAACAATTATAGGATTTTAATCAAATTTTATCTGGAGTATCCATGGACAAATTGGGCTTAATGTTGCTATTCCATGTTGCATACATGGAGAGTGTAGCAGAATGACGGGGCCTAGAGGGGAAAGTGGGGATACCATTATTGACTCCTTCATTCTACGGATGAAGGTAATTTAACAAAATCATATTTGGAGTATACTTCGGTCAGGGGGACTTACTGTTGTATAATCAAAGGGTGCTGATCATTAGGTCAGAGGAAATTTGGTAAATATTTATAATCAATTTAGCACTGTTAAAATGATATATTTATGATATAACCAAGTTCAATCTGCAGATAACTTTAGCCGACTTTTAAATGAAGGATGTTCCTCTACCGGTGATAGAAGGAATGGATCTTATTACAATCATACTCCTTTGTATAAGTTAAGATATATTGACGGAATTTGGTCTATAACATCCAAGACCAAGGCTTGATTTGGTTTGTTTGTGATAACCTCATATTAACAGACTTGATCATATGAGAACGAGCAAGGTTTCAGTGGTGGATGATATCCCAGTATTGAACCATCGACCCAGTGTTGGAGGGCAAATAATCGGAGACAGGCAGACGCCTTAACCACTCGGCTACCGTGGCCCAGTGTTGGAGGGCAAATAATCGTAGACGGGCAGACGCCTCAACCACTCGGCTACCGTGACCCAGTGTTGGAGGGCAAATAATCGTAGACGGGCAGACGCCTCAACCACTCGGCTACCGTGACCCAGTGTTGGAGGGCAAATAATCGTAGACGGGCAGACGCCTCAACCACTCGGCTACCGTGGCCCAGTCTTGGAGGGCAAATCATCGCAGACTGGCAGACGCCTTAATCACTCGGCTACCGTGACCCAGTGTTGGAGGGCAAAAAAATCGTAGACGGGCAGACGCCTCAACCACTCGGCTACCGTGACCCAGGGTTGGAGGGCAAATAATCGTAGACGGGCAGACGCCTTTATCACTCGGCTACCGTGACCCAGTGTTGGAGGGCCAATAATCGTAGACGGGCAGACGCCTCAACCACTCGGCTACCGTGACCCAGTGTTGGAGGGCTAATGTTCGTAGACAGGCAGACGCCTTAACCACTCAGCTACCGTGGCCCAGTGTTGGAGGGCAAATAATCGTAGACGGGCAGACGCCTCAACCACTCGGCTACCGTGACCCTGTCTTGGAGGGCAAATGATCGCAGACGGGCAGACGCCTTAATCACTCGGCTATCGTGACCCAGTGTTGGAGGGCAAATAATCGTAGACGGGCAGACGCCTTAATCACTCGGCTATCGTGACCCAGTGTTGGAGGCCAAATAATCGTAGACGGGCAGACGTCTTAACCACTCGGCTACCGTGACCCAGTGTTGGAGGGCTAATGTTCGTAGACGGGCAGACGCCTCAACCACTCGGCTACCGTGGCCCAGTCTTGGAGGGCAAATGATCGCAGACGGGCAGACGCCTTAACCACTCGGCTACCGTGACCCAGTGTTGGAGGCCAAATAATCGTAGGCGGGCAGACGCCTCAACCACTCGGCTACCGTGGCCCAGTGTTGGAGGGCAAATGATTGTAGACGGGCAGACGCCTTAACCATTCGGCTACCGTGGCCCAGAGTTAGAGGGCTAATGATTGTAGACGGGCAGACGCCTTAACCATTCGGCTACCGTGGCCCAGTGTTGGAGGGCAAATGATTGTAGACGGGCAGACGCCTTAACCACTCGGCTACCGTGACCCAGTGTTGGAGGGCTAATGGTAGTAGACGGGGTTAAGGGGTTGTTTGCTGCAGGGTCCTACACTTCCTAGACGAGTACACGGATGTCATTACAGTGTTTTAGTAATATCCTCTACTAGGAAAAGGGACCATTTATCTTATAACTACATCTCGGAAGGAAAGCCACGATTCCCACTCAGAAGGGCATACATATATGTTTTGCTAGGCTTTCAGAGATAAATACTAAAATTCTTCAAAGATAACTTGCGGACCTAAATCCTCACCACATAACCCTATATTAGTACTTGACATGAGGAGATGAACACTATAATGCTACCAGAATCGGTCCTTAGTCCAGTCTCTCCCTAATTGACAAAGATTCTGGGTCATTTAAACGGTTGAAATCCCGACCATATAGTCACATAATAATACAATAACATGTACAAGATATGAAAAGATGAATGCATTCATACTACCAGGAATGAAGTAACGAAGTAACGTAACAAATTCAGTACATGCAAACAGTCGGTATCCTCACAAATTACCATCTAAATCGTTTGCTTTGACTGCAGAAACGAAACACAATTATGCAAGTAGGATTGGTCTCAGGGTCCAGTTCCATTCCTGATGACCCAGTAAGTCCAGGGACTAGTTGAGTTACCCAATCAAGAATCATTTATACATGTAACACAACTGATAGATTTAGAGTCGATATATTAAAATGGTTGAAATTTCCACCCTTCAAGAAAGTAAACATTTGTTATGCAGGAAGAGCCGACTACTCTTAGGCAGTCAGGAATTCGCCAAGGGCTGGGCCCCTACCTCGCGGACTTAGTGCCATAACCCAGCCAGTCCCCTTTACACAATGCACATATATAAGGCTCTTAACAAAATTTGCATACAATGAGTGCATGGTCCTTAAAACCTTGAATTCAATGCTTTATAAAGAAGAGTGAAGCCTCTTGGAGACTGATGGCTAATGTTCAAAAGAGGGAAATTTGGTGTTGAGTATTTAAAAAAACGGCAATTCTTGACGAGTATATTTTTCTTAGTTTGCTATGAAATATTCCTACGACCCTGACATCATATGCTGTTAAAGTAACGATTCTCTCCTGATTGGTACTGCGAGGCAAAGCCCAGAATAAGATATTTTTGAAATATTAATAATGAAGAAAATATTTAAATATTTCGGTGAGAGATACAGGCGCTTTAGGTCTCATTGTGAAGCCTTTTTGAGCTTGTTTATTTAATAAACCAGATATGACATGCCTTGCATTTCATATATTGTTTTCCAGAAATCACATGTCTTGCCTTCCATTTATTGTTTCAGATATTGTAAAACCACAGGTGACATGCCCTCCCTCCCGTACAATTTTAGTAAAAGATGTTTCCTCATCTAAGGAGGAGGTTACTGTGCGTGAAAGCGACATCATCAAGTCGGATATTGTAGGTATAACAGATGTTATCATCAATCCTACTACCCTGACTGTGAGTGGCAGTAATCTGGGCAGTCATATTGTCACAATCATAGTACGGGATGCTGCTTCCAACTCGGCTGTCTGCAACTTTGATGTGGCCGTCAAAAGTAAGTTATTACAGGAATTTACAGTTCACTTTAACAATTCAACATTATGAAATTGGGAATTTATCGCAACCTTTGATATAAATATAGTTTTATGATAATGGATATAAGTGCTTCTCTTTGTGTAAAAACACAGTCAGAGGATACTGTCCTACATGTTTTAACTTAAAGGAGATTTGTACGACCTAGATTTATGATAGAGTTTAATTAAACAGGTAATTTGTCCTTTTGTAATATGTAACGTTGTTATGCCTGACATGTTATAAATATTATGATACCTTCATTTTCCAAATTGTATAACATGTCAGACTAACTGATATAAGATGTTGTGAAGTGTCATAGTATTCAGCAAAGCATTCGGCTGGTCACAATCATCTTAATGCCATTATACCTCTCAACAGCTAGTGAAATATTTGAATGATCACTATGTATCATTTTAACTGAATTTCATGTTCATCGTATTCAATATACGTATCTTAACACTAATATGTAATTGGTGTCATTAAATACTACATATTATCTTTTCGGTGTCATATTGAACTTAAAAGTGACAAGAAACCTATTCTAATTACATTTTTCATTTTGTTTTTTTAGTTGATCCCTGTACACCTTTAGCATTGACTACGCCCTTACATGGAAGTAAAGTTTGCAATGAAGTAGCAGATGGTTACTCCTGTACACTAACCTGTGAGTCAGGCTATGTGTTCTACCAATATCCTACTACTAACCTATCCATGCAGTGCAGTACGGAAAATCCCTGGAATCCAGAAGCGGTGCCTGCATGTGTCCCAGGTAAGGGTTGTTCTTGCTTATGTCCCAGGCAAGGACTTACCTCTGTGAATGAAAGACAATGTGTCTGCAAGTGTTCCAGGTAATGATTGTTCTTGCTAATGTCCCAGGCAAGGACTTACCTCTGTGAATGAAAGACAATGTGCCTGCATGTGTCCCTGGTAAGGATATATCTTGCTTATGTCCCAGGCAATGACTTACCTCTGTTAATGAAAGACAATGTGTCTGCATGTGTCCCAGGTCATTTGTCTTGTTGTGTCCCAGGTAAGGGTTGTATCACAGATAAGAGTGTACCCTTTGTATCCAAATAAGGACTGTACCTGTGTGTGTCCCTGATAAGGACTGTACCTGTGTACGTGTGAAAATCCCTGTTAAGAATGTTATCTATGTAAATTTCAAGTAAGGACTGTAATTCTGTGTGTGTCACTGATAAGGAGTGTACCTTTGTGTATCCAAGGTAAGGACTGTTGCCGTATGTGTCCGGGTGCAGACTGCTCCTGTGTGTGTCCCTGATAAGAACTCAAATATGAAAGACATTTGCATTGAAGATACACAAAGGGGAAGTAACTCCTTCAAAGCAGATTGTATAATAGTGATGTGAAGATAGTTTCCCGTTTATTTAAGGACTAGTAATAAACAAGTTTTCAAAAACGATTTATCTAACTTAACTATAGCTACACTTTTTAGGTCACCTGAGACTAGTGACCTATTCTAATCGCCTTTTGTCCGTCGTCGTCCGTCGTGCTTCGTTCGTCGGTAAACAATTTACATTTTCAACTTCTTTTCCGAAACCCTTGAATCAATTTCAATGAAATTTTGCAGAAACCTTCCATGGCCTTTGGTTAACCAGGGACCTGAGGTGGCAAAATTAATTAGGTCAGCTGAGTCCGTCGTGCCTCCTTAAACAATTTACATTTTCGTCTTCTCAGAATCCACTGATCCGATTTCAATAAATTTTTGCAGGAACCTGCCTTGTTCCAATATGCATCAAAAATGTGTATTATATGGTTCCCACCCCCGTTAGCTCTGTGGGGCGGAGCTAAAAGTGGTCAAAATAGCTTAAATTTTACAAATCCACTTCTCCAGACTCAGATATGCTGGAAACCAATATTCTTTATAGGTGGAAGGGTCTTGAGGTACTTTATCAAAATGATGAATCTCATGACACTCGAGCTTCACCTTTGCCCCAAGGGTGGGGGTGAAATTTACTATAGTTTATTTAGGAAAACGCAAATTTTGGGTATGTTTTTTTTTGGACATTCTAACCCTAGCTCATCCCCAGTCATTTTCTCCAGACTGCGATAGGCTTGAAACCAATACTCGTCATAGATGGAAGGGTTATGAGGTGTTTTATGAAAATTGTGAATTTCATGACCCCTGACTCAATGTTTGTCCATGGGAAGGGGCAAAGTTTACTATAGTTTATATAGGAAAATGATACTTTTAGGTATGTTTGGTTCATTTTCAATTGGAAATTATTCAAACTTGACAGACATTATAACTATGAAACGACGGTTTGGTACTTTAACAGTTTGGGCTCGGACCCGCCCCCAAGGGCTATAGTGGTCAAATTGACTTCAATTTTAAACATCTTCTTCTCTAGACCAAGATAAGCTGGATATCTACACTCTTAATAGGTGGAAGGGTCTTGAGGTATTTATCAAAATTATGAATTTCATGACCATTAGCTTCACGTTTGCCCCTTGGGGTGAAATTTACTATAGTTTATATAGGAAAATGCAACTTTTGGGTATATTTTGTTCATTTTCTACTGGAAACCATTCAAACCTTATTTTACATTACATGTAGTTCAAGTAACCTTTGTTACAAAATGATTTCTTTTTCATCGATAACCCAAGGGCCCATTGTTTAATATATTATTGAAATATTCCTAGCATAAGGACATTGGGCTATGTTTGTTCGTGCCTCAGTTAAACTTGTTATCGGTGTCTCATGGACGGTGTCCAATGCAAAGGCTTGGCTCAGAATGGGGGATAAAAATCATTTAATTGAAACGGACTTTATTAGGGGTTACTGATGCCATATAATTCTTCTTATAATGTCATTGCATATATACAGGATTTGTATTGTACGTGGTGTCAAAGTCGTGTATTTACATTTGAATGGCATTGTCACCATATAGCCTCTTTGAAAGCTGTGTCGTTTGTAACTGTGGAACGAGCGACGCAGCCTTACCCGACAATGCCAACACAATAGTACACTCTATACAGTATAAACATATTTATTTACACTATTTATAAAGATAATGTAAAACACTGATTAATATAATACATACTCACTCATACTCACAACACACAAATAAACACAGGCTAAAGGAAATATTCTGTCAAATCCTCTTCTGTAAACTATCCTAAACTCCTCTGGAACTAGAACAAAGGCTACCTCACACCAGCCATGAGTTAGGGTTGGCTATCCCAGTGGACAGCGTCAAAATATGCAAGTGTTTACACACTTTCACCATCTAGAAGGGTGGCACAATCTACTGGCACTGTAGACAAATTGGGTGGTCTTACACAATAGACCATCGACTTCAGTGGAAGTTTTCCTCTATGCAAAGAAACCGCTGGCTATCTTAGGATATGTTGTACCGCCGCTGTATCACACCCAAATCACCCTGTCATGGTCAGATCTGTCTCGTGTGTCGGCTGGTCTGTTCAACAGATGATCCTCCAGATAATCCCAGGGTAGAAAGCTGGTAAAAGATGGAAAGTATGACAGAAGATGACGAAATTCCATAAAAATTCCCGTAATTTGAATGTCACTTCACATATTTTAACTACACATTTATTTCACCCACGCGCTTCCATACTTTTATAATTCTCACAAACCGACATTTCGAATACCTAAAAGGATATTGATATTTAGAATAATTACGTAACTAACATCACAAAGAATACACTAAATGCTGATAACGTAATAAGCGAAATGTTAGCAAACTAGCAATTAAGAATTCGTGCGGGTCCACAGCATGCAATCACCTAACATGTCACCTATGGGCCTCCGTACCTACAGATAATGCATAGGCACAAATAATGTAATGTACAATAACATCTAAGTTTCTGATAATTTACACACAAGTAACACACAGTTATCTTCTTCATACAACCAATATATACCGATTATTAGAATTATAACACGTGTAAAATGGTTTATAGACGAAATGCACACGTAAACAACTCAGTCAAGCATGAGTAGACCGCACCAACTAAGAATGCTTGACCGGTCTCCATCAGGTAAATTACACAATCCAAGCGGACCAAATACACGGGACATCAACAAACATGGGTTAAACACTTACCACAGTCAGCTTTCTGTGCTTTCCTCATGGAGCGGCCTATGAAAGTATATAATATTGTCGGTTTTCCATGTGAACATGCAATACCGCCATGTTTCAAAGTTTCTTCCCCCGGTACCTCTCGCGTGTTTTCCAACATACTGTTGATCAACACACCTGTATATATACATATGCGAGCGTGACATCGTTGATGGGACTTTAATTACCATGCAGCACGATTGATACAACACTGACCGGAACTACAATATCCAATGTAAATAAACATGACGGTTGCTGAAGTATCGCTGGGCATTGTGAGACTTGACAATGTTGTTGTAAATTTATGTGTAAAAGAAAAAAGAAAATATAAAAAAAAATACTTTTATTACAACAAAAACAAGACCAAGGTCTGCAATATCGTACACAATGCACATCGGTTAAAATCACCAATGCCGGCAAATGAAACATTTTTAACGGTCATGCAATTTTATCAGAAATATCGTCTGTTGCTATTCAACAGGGGTTCGTTACAAATGTCTGAAATAGACATATTCTATATACCTACTGACACATTTGTTACAGACCTACTGATATCAGTCGCAGCACAAATAAACAGTTCAGACATTTGTAACGAACCCATGTGCTACGTCACAAGATCACTCACTTCAAACGCTATCAGTTTCATGCGAATCGCAGCCACGGTTTCCTCAGTTTCTGATGATATGACAAATAACGAGGCTGTTATAGAATCTACCGACTGTAGTCAGATTCTCATACACTCAACAAATAAACTCACGTCTGGATTCTTAACAAATTCGAACTTTTCTCTTTGCTCATTTAACTTCCAAAAATAACTCCCACGTGGAGGGTAAGATCGGATTTACGGTGTTCACTGTCTTTATTCAAGCCCGAAATTTGTTCCGGGGAAAATCGAAACAATTTCAAATCATACTTTCAGCTCAGAGTTCTATTGATAAACTAAAATCACCCTATAGACATATCATACGCAATTATATTGATACTGAATTGTGGAATAAAATTGAAGTGCTTGTTCAAATTTGTGTGGACTGTCGATAAGGCGGGAATTTTAGATATAAATTGTAAGTTAAGAAAGAACATAAGAGGCAGAGAAAACGTAAATATAAGTATTTAACTGTTTTTGTATGGTGTTTATGATATTTTTGAATGACACAGCTCTGCATGCAAACAAATCATAATGCTGTTTGCGCACAAAGCTGTGTCATTCAGATAGATCATAAATACCATACAAAAACAGTTCAATGCTTCATTACAAGCTTTGACAAGAGGCAATATTTAGTTCAACGATAAAGCATCCGATTATAATTTCGATCTTTGTTCACATGTGGGAAGTATGATATATATGTTATCGATTGTATACAAACTATTTTTATTTTCTCTCTCATTCAACACGTTTAGTTGAAGTATCCAATTTGGCTGACTATCAGTTAAAAGTGAATGTTATTTACGATGGGATAACAGCAACTTCAGACTGTGTGGAGGAGTACAAGACATTTGTCCGCAACGTTGCCCAAACACAGACAGCAAACTTTGTTTCATCCTGTCTAAACCTGAACCCTGTAAACCCGATCACATTCACCATCCCAACAGATCAGATCGAGTTCTCAACGCAAGGCACACAGGTATGTATCACCACCCCCTCATCACCAATCAACTTGTGAACTGTTATTATGTCTGGTTTTAACCTGAACGTCACATGTTTTTGTTTGATACTACTTACCAATATTTACATTTGGTGTGGCAAAGCCCTTCTATATTACTACTAAAGTACTGCCAATAGCAGCTTCATCTTATGAGACTATAACTGAAGTTGGTCTTTGCACCTNCTATGTATATATAACACATGAATTGTTGTTTAATACCATAATGTATAACATAATATATACTGATTGTATGTCTAGACTCTCAACATATTATTTCTCCCAGCTGACCGTTGTGTTTACCCTGGTATTTGCACCCCGAACTGCCTCTCAACAAAGCCTACGTTTATGTGCCAATATCCAGGACAGCAACTTCCAGACACTTCCATTTGGATTTCAAACACTTTCCAAGGTGATTCCTACAACATCTTCATGTAAGCATGCCAATGCTTCGGCCAGTCAGGCTCAGACTGAAGGATATCTGTGTGCCACCAACCAGAAGAAAATAATTCTGGGGTCCAAAACCTACTGTCGTAAGTAAACAAGGGGTGAGAGTATTGTCAAAACATACCATCGCAAGTTAATAGATATAGGTCACGTTTGAACAAACTATGTAAATATCTGAATGACCGTGTATCTCTATGGATATGGTGCCCATGTCGGTTGCAGAAATTAAATTTGGCTTTCAGTACTTTTTTAATTAAAATAATGGTTTGAATATTAAAACTACAGGTTCGTGTTTGAAAAAAGAGAGAATAATTTAAGTTCAATATAAATATATATATATTTTAAGAAAAAAACAGGGGTTACTAATTTATTTATTTTCTAAATGTTACTTAAATTCAATATAAATTATATTATCTTGCTTTTTTATTACTAGATTGGTGTGCAAATAAAAAATCTAAGCTGTAATACAATTTGATAGAAATATCATGATTTTAATTGAGTTTTTAATTGTAAAAAACATAGATGCCAAATCTTACCCAGTTAATGTTGATATTGTAGTGTCGTGTTCAGAGGGAACCTACTATGATACAGCCGGAGGCACTTGCACCCTCTGCCCCATAGGAACATACAATGCATTGACAGGCCAGTCACAGTGTACAGATTGTCCAGGGGGCCGCAGCTCAGAATTCTCGGGCAGGACTAACTTTAATGAATGCAGCGTCTGTAGGTTTATTTCACTTATATTCTAGCACCTACTGTTTTCAGAAAAATAAATAAAGTTATTCCATTTTAAAAACATTTATCTTTGAATATTACAGTAATAATATATTTTTAGTGTTACGCTCATCTGACAAACGTTAAAAAACTTTGACAAAATAATGCTGAATGATATACATTCAGTCACTTTAAACTCATCTCATTATTGTTTAGAAACATCATGAAATTAATTCCATGCCAGAACAAAGAAGTGTTTTTTTCTGACAATCGCACACAGTAGGAGCAAACGTCCTACTACGTCTCGGCGAAGAGTAGCAATTACCAAGTCAAATGAACGGACATAAAGATACGAAAATGCATGTCTTTTTACCGTATGTTTTTCATATTTTTGCATTTATGTGTGTAGCCATTCATAATTTCCTACACGAATAGCAAATGAGGAAACAAGTATATTAATAAGATATGAACTTTACAGGTGCCTTCGGCCTCCTCAATCAATAACGTTATCTATATACACATACATTTGCTTCAGATAAATGTCCAGCTGGATATGCATCGCCCAACGGTTTACCTCCCTGTACCGAATGTGCCAAGGACACGTACTCCGCAACCGTTGGAAGTACAACCTGCACCTCATGTGGACAGAACATGAAGACGGCTGGAACAGGGTCCACCTCAGGAACCCAGTGTCTATGTAAGTGAAATTGCAGTCAATATGTAAACGACAGGGCTCTGTCAATATGCAAGTGATATAGATATTTCAATGTGTAAATCACAAGGTTTTGTCAATGTATAAGTGTCAACATTTAAATGACCAGGTATTTTGCCAATGTGTTAGTATAAACGTTCAAATGACCCAGTGTTTTGTCAATGTATAAGTGTCAACGTTTAAATGACCCAGTGGTTTGCCAATGTGTTAGTGTAAACGTTCAAATGACCCAGTGTTTTGTCAATGTATAAGTGTAAACGTTTAAATGATCCAGCGTTTTGTCAATGTGTTAGTGATATAGAATTATGTTAGTGTGTAAGTGACATAGAGTATCTCACAATATGTAGATACCATATGATATGTGCTGATGACATATGTCAGTGTGTACGTGATATACGGTTAAATCACGTACATGCATCATCTGGTTGATTCTCTGTCCGGGTTTATGATTTTAGCTAGGTGTGCAAAGGGATACTTCTCTCCAACTGGATACAATCCTGATTGTCGTCCTTGTCCTGTCAACTTCTACCAGAATTTGGAGGGCCAATCATACTGTATAGAATGCCAAAACAATCAGTACACTGTAGGAGAGTCGTCTGATTCTTCAAATAACTGCGTTCCTGTCAGTAAGTAATAAACATCTTCTTCACACTGTGCCATTGTTAGTCAGTTGTCACTGTCAGTAACAAACTTCCTCTTTGATTGTTATGGGAAGATTATGTTCCCCTCTTATGTCATAGTTATTGTAATTGATATTTTCTTTGATATTTACAGGTACCCTGTGTTCAAATTCCCCCTGTCAGAATGGAGGAACTTGTGCTGAAACAAACTTTCACAACTTCAAATGTACATGTCCAGATGGTAAGTCACCAATAAGAAGATATGTTGTTTGATGTAATGTTTGACTGACATATAGAGGTTCCCCAACGAGTTATGGTTGGTTATCATGTTTATCTAACTCTTGTTCGTAAATTTTCAAGTTCAATAAATACACGAGGTTTACCGAGTGTCTTTTACAATTTGAAAATTGACTAACAAGATTGTATTAATGTCAATAACAAGCATCCTCTTTGATTGTTACAGGAAAATTAAACAAGAGTTTTTGGGACCCTTTTTTCTCACATAGTTCATCTAGAAAACCATGTTTCTTTAAGGTATACCTTTTCCTGTTTCCGATTGGAGAAACAAGTGCTGGTATTTGGTCTTCCTGTCAGTCCACCTTGGTCTAAAGACAATTTTAAAATTTAACAAAATATCATCTCATTTAATTCTGTTTTACGCACGTACCGGGAAATACACTTAGATATAGTACTAGTGCAAACACCTAATTTTGTAAACTTTTCTTTCTTTGTAAACAACCAACCATTTAAATCTCGTCATGTGTATTAATGTTATAAGATTCAGTGTATCATGTTTCACTCTCTTTCTCAACTGAACAACGTACCATTTTAGCTACACACTGGCAATGTTGTGTTGATGTTGTAATTGCTAAGTCTATAATAAATAACATGTTGTTTTACATTCCTTTAATGGACCTACAGTTAACATAATTGGAAATAAATAATTTCCATTAGTTTGGTCATCTGTCTTCTTTATTTAGTTGAAAACAATTAAATAGTTCAATAAGTCACGAAATTTGTATGATCCCTTCCCCATCAGGCAAGTCATAATTTCATTATTATTAGAAATATTAACATAATTTGCATGATTCACATCTGTCAGATCATATGTATTGTTCCAATTATTCAGATATTATTTGTGATTCCCATTATTCATATCATGATTTTGTATGATTTCCATTAGTTCGATCATTTGTATGATTCCAATAATTCAAGATCATTCTTTATGATTCATTTTATTCAGATAATTTGTATGGTTCACATTCTTAAGATCATTTGTAGGATTCCAATCGTTCAGATCAGTTTTTGAATTCCTATTATTCAGATCATTTGTATGGCTCCAACTATTCGGATCATTTGTATGATTAGAATAATACATTTATTTGTATGATTCACATACGTTAGGTTGTGCGATTTCCATTAGTCTTGTTACGTTTATGATTAATAATAGTCAGGCTTTTTGTTTGATTCTCCTCAGCATGAATTTCTAAATAATGACTTATTGTTCTGTACAGGGTTCTATGGTAGGACCTGCAACTCGCAGGTGTTGCACTGTGCATCCACGCCCTGCTACAACAATGGAATGTGTACTGAAGACCAAGCCCTCAACTCTTACAAATGCACATGTCTTCAAGGTACGTCAATCAGGGTATTCACATAGCAGATTACAAACAAGAAAGGTAAAGGCTAAGGATCCCTTCAAAATTGCATTATATAAGTCTGCAAAAAATCTTCTTGCACATAGATATCCCAGTTTTGATCATAGATGTATTTATAATATATACGCCTTTCTATTTAAAAGGCATCCCTAAGCGTAGAAGAGTTTCAAGTGATCTGATTAAAATGCTTGAAATTTTCATTCCCAGGATGACATATTTGAAAAAGTTCCATGCTTCTCCTATAATTAAGTTAGAGAAAGAAACCAGCATCTCCTCAAATTAAACTGCAAAGAACTTACACTCCTGAAATGGGTTCAAATACAGGCAGCTAAACCAATTAGGCATCTTCAAATTGAACAAACTATCACATAATTGATATTGTTGGAAGCAAAAAGAAACAAATTAAATTTATTCAATTCACTTTTCTGTGAATTAATATCAGTACACAATCTTGTTCAACAATTATTCGATGTTAACAATGTGTTACAGGCTCTTCAGGGACCAACTGTGAAATCGATTCGCCTACAGAATGCACTCCCAACCCCTGTGGTAATGCTGGGAAATGTAAAAACCTGATAAACAACTATGAATGCCTCTGTCCCACTGGATATTCTGGCAAAAAGTATTACCAAGTTTTACCAACATATGAACTGAGATAATTTCAATGCTTAAACTTTAATCTGTCTATACGAAATGTTTGTTTGTTCAAATTGACAAGTATATAGTAATTTCGGTGTTTTGTATATTTGTTTTTTGTATTAAATACTTTGGTGTCAGCACAGTTAACTTACTATTTAATTGAAAAAAAAGCACTTTTAATTTTAGAAGCAAATTCATGCATTTGAAGGATGCTTTGAATAATACATGGATTGTTGTTTCAGTTGTACCGACAAGAAAGATGTATGTCTCAATGATATGTGTGCCTCGACAGCTTACAACTGTACAGCTTATGGCAATGTACGCAGAAAGTGTTACTGTATGCCTGGCTACACAGGCGACAGATGTGACATCAACATAGGTAAGTAGTCCTTGTCTTGACAACACTAACTTAGCTTTGTATAAAATAAATTGTTCAAAATACTCCACCAAACCAACACATGTACCTACATCGTCTACATTAACCAACACATGTACCTACATCGTCTACTGTAACCAACACATGTACCTACATCGTCTACTGTAACCAACACATGTACCTACATCGTCTACAGTAACCAACACATGTACCTACATCCTCTACAGTAACCAACACATGTACCTACATCCTCTACAGTATGTATCGTTTTACTAACCTTAATACATGTACGGACTATTTCAGATTATCCCTCCCTTTCTAGTCCGTTCACCTGGTCCGAATGCAAAACTGTGGAAATAAAGGGGTAATCCCATAGGGGGCTGAGGAATTGGCAATTTGGTCATATTGTTGAAATGTGATAAAAGAAAATGGCTGACCATTTCGACAAGTTCTTTACTGATTTAGCCGGGAAACTCACTAAACAACTTGATAATATGAAACTACATTTTAAAAGATTACAGATTTTATCTTTCATAAAATTTCCGAAAAATGTAGCTTTACAGTTCCCATTATAGAAATTGAATTTGTTGAAAACTTTCTAAAATCATTAGATATCAAAACGGCTGTTTGTATAGGTCGTGTAAGTTCGCGACTACTGAAAGTTGCATTTTCTGAAATTGCAACTTTAATAACACATATCATGAACTTTAGTATTAAAACAGGCGAATTCCCAAGTATTATTATGCCATGATTACTGAGGTATCTAGGTGAGCAATACATGCCATTTTGGCCTTCTATATGGAAATAAAATCGAAACGAAACTATGAGTTTTGTAAGGTTGAAAAATGACATCCAGGACCATGTGAGGACCTGTTTCTGTGCTACTTTTGCACGTCACCGTTTGCATACAATACGCGTTTTGACGTCACCTTTTTTGCGTAATGAAGTTTAAACTTAGTCTACGTCTGTGTAGGATGTTGAAGAAAATAATTTAAGAATAAATTATTTAAACCTGTTTTACTCAAAAGCATGCGGCAAAGTAGCTTTTACATTATCACGTTCTGTTGGATCAGAAATAGAAACCAATATTCTTCAGGCAGGGCAGCGCAAAAAAGTATGGTGTCCTTACATGCTTCGCTCTTTGGACCATAGCAGTAACTCAGTGTATATAATGTGTGTTATAAATAGAACGGAACAGAAACTGATCTCATAATGACGTCGTTCGATGATGACAAATGGATTTGCTGTGATTTTATTCGACAAATTTGACTTAAGTGCTCCGGGACTGGTCGCCCGATGCTACTGAAGTAGTTTCCTTTGTAAAGGCTGGCGCAAGTGTTACGCATTTAAATTATCTCATAATAATCACCATTATTTTCTAATTGCTATACTTACCTACGACTAGAAAAGACATATCTTGCAAATCATCAGTTTCACTTCATGTTGTTATGATATAAAGATTATGATAACTATGACTTAGTACTACAAACACATCACTGATCCGGTAATAATGGTGATTACTATGACATACAAACACCTCACTGATCCGGTAATAATGGTGATAACTATGACATACATACACCTCACTGATCCGGTAATAATGGTGATTACTATGACATACAAACACCTCGCTGATCCAGTTCTAATGGTGATTACTATGACATACAAACCCCTCACTGATCCGGTACTAATGGTGATAACTATGACATACATACACCTCACTGATCCTGTACTAATGGTGATAACTATGCCATACAAACACCTCACTGATCCTGTACTAATGGAGATTACTATGACATACAAATACCTCACTGATCCAGTTCTAATGGTGATTACTATGACATACAAACACCTCACTTATCCTGTACTAATGGTGATTATTATGACATGCAAACTTCTCACTGATCCGGTACTAATGGTGATTACTATGACATACAAACACCTCACTGATCCAGTTCTAATGGTGATTACTATGACATACAAACACCTCACCTCACTTATCCTGTACTAATGGTGATTATTATGACATACAAACTTCTCACTGATCCGGTACTAATGGTGATTACTATGACATACAAACACCTCACTGATCCAGTTCTAATGGTGATAACTATGACATACAAACACCTCATTTCGCTTATCCTGTACTAATGGTGATTATTATGACATACAAAAACCTCAATGATCCTGTACTAATGTTGGTTGCTGCAAACATGAATAATGTTTACGTTTTGGTTGATTTAGATGACTGTCTATCCAACCCTTGTCTGAATGGAGGGACGTGTACCGATATGGTGAATGGTTACCAGTGTTCCTGTAATATAAATGCATTCTCTGGGGTGAGATGTGAAGTGAGAATGGACCTGTGTTCAGGCGTATCGTGTGGTGTGGGCGGAGTGTGTGTTCCGGACTACACCAGGGACACCTACATCTGTGTCTGTAGACAGGGATACGGCTACGGTAGGAATGGGTCGTTTATCGTTTATGTTTATAAGAATTGCAGAATTTGAAATATCGTGATTTGAATCATCCATCATCATTAATTGCAAATACATTTCATTTCCTTAACTCAAAGAAATATGTGCTATCTGTCTGAGTGTGAAGATATCTATAGTGTGTTAACCAAACGGAATGACACTTAATCTATTACATCACTTTCTGTGCTGATGTAGATGAAGACGGTAGATAGACGGGTGTTTTATTTCTAGTTTATATTTTAACACTAAGGTTTTTGCTCAAATATTACCAAATAAAAGCAGAAAACGGTAGAACTGTTTAGTGTTGCCTATTTAAAATGACACACAATCTCATTGGGAATAGAATATGCCGCGGCCCGCACATTTTTCTTTGAGTAACATTTTCGTTGTTGAAAATAGTTTTACAATTTATGGATCTTTTTGTAGTTAGCCCATTGAAACCCTTATTTCCTTCACTTGAATGGCAGAATATGCGATATATTTCACTCCTACTTGACATTCGGAAATTATGTAGTATTAAACGGGAAACAATTCAAAATCCTCTACCTTTTCTTAACAGCTTCTGTATACACCTTGATAAATACATCGCTTTGCCCCATTGAAATACAAGACAAATAAGAATGTTGTATAACGATTGTAGATAATGCCAAAATAATTAAAGACCGATGCGTGTTACTCGAATGAACACATTTTTCTATTATGATATATAACTCTTGTTAGAGTTCATTTAGAATAAGCAAACATTGTATGCTACCCAAATAAGGTTAAAATATAAAGCAGTGCTATAGAAAGTCAACCAGACCAATACCAGAATTGAGGGATCCTATAGGGACCTAAGACATGATGCAGCTATATTTGGACCTAAACAGAGGTATCTAGAGTAATATGAAAAGGCAATGCCTTAAAAGAGCGTAGCTTTTGTTGATCTCTGATATTTACTGATTCAGAATACAACTTTCAAAATGAGATAAGATAAACTTTATTCAAAGTCGGCTAGTCGAGCAATAACAATAAAACACAAGCTCTAATGAGATTAAGACCGACTTAACAATAGGGAGGCCGGGGCAAGTTCGGCCCTTTTTATTATTAAAGATTGTTGTAGGAAGTATGGCAGCACGTCCTTTTTTAAACATTATTTAACTTTTCCTGTCGGAGGATCGGATGGCCGAACGAGCCCCGCCATGGGATAAGTTCGAACAGGCATTCGGATAAGTTCGGCCCATTGGAATCAGCTTAATCATGACGTCATAAAGCATGCAACGTCAGATTTGTACCGCCAATTTTACGACTTTTTATGTGTTTACTACATGGGCCGACCTTGTCACGGTATTATTGGTCGAACCTGTTCGGGCCCAAATTGATATTTCAATAAAGTCTTATCGTACAGCAATATGGTAGTGAGTGATTGGCCTGGCTTTTATGTATTCTCACTTGAAGCTGTCAGTGTGTTACACGTTTGACTGTAAAAAAGTAGCAATTCCGTTTCAATGTGATTATTACATATTTGCCGATTAGTCTAAGTAAATTTATAGAGATGTAAGTTAAATAAATGAAATTAAAAAAAGAAAACATTGTAATACTTTGATGTAACTGAAATTGTCTTCACATCGATATGTAGTCTCAATTACTGTTCCATCCGGAAACACCGGATTGAATTTCAAATTTTGTAACTGTCACCGATGTTTGACAGGTAATGATGCCAAATAAAATAACAGTGTTTGTCTGTAACTAGTTTTAAAACTGAACGCGTTGTGAAAAAGGGTGTTGCACTTGGGTCGGTTGTCTGGAAAATTATTGCTAATTTCGTCATAAATGCATTTTCCATTGCTTCTTTTATGAGTGGGGATGCATAAATAATGTAAAGACTATATCCAGACTTTCAAAAATGTTAATTATTTCGTTCATATTCTCAACATATGGAAATCAAAAGCTAATAAAATTTGAAATGATCTCTTTTTGAAGATATCTCCCGGTAGAAATATTAACATATCCGGGTTGATGACAAAAACAATCTTCAGAAAATATCCGCATTTTGACTTTTTGTGCCTGTGGAAACTGAAATAAAAAAAAGTCATGAAGCACAGACAAAGAGATAAATGCTCCAGAATTCTCCAGATATTTTTCCTACTTCCGGAAATAACCGATGAAGTTTCATGCCTGTTAGCATCAAATTTATGTGATAGACTTTTCACTCAGAATGTATATTATTTTTTATCTAAATAAACAAGTAATAAAACATGAAGATTGTTTTCACTATATGAAGACATTCATGTATGGGTTGAAACACAATTGTCTTTGCTTCAAGGATACACTTCCTGTTTCCCCACTGGACGTCACTTCCGGACGAAAAAAATAAAGGCAACGGGTGAAAAGGGGAAGCAACTCTGTTTAAGCACGCATGTGTTACCATTAAAGAGCTACGCTCTTATTATAACACGTTTGGGTTAAGCGGTATAGATCAAATTTTGGGAGAAATGCCATCTCTATTGACGGTATATGAGAGAAGAGAGGAAAAATTTCCTTGCATCAAAACCACATTTTTAGTTGATGTAAAACAACTACTTGGTATCGTTGAAAAGAGGGATAAGTTGTTCGCAGTCTTAGAGACACCTTTTCAATATGAGGTAAATGTCATGCTCTAGCAAATATCATACAACCCTGTTGACTGGTATAATGTATTGATTTATATAAAGATTTCCCGACACAACCGGACAGGAAGTGTTCGCTAAGCACGACGTCAACTTCATCCATCTTAGTTAAAAACATTTATCTTCCCAACGGTACCAAACATGTTTTTGTTTTGTAAATCAACTATAGATGTAATTTTGGATGCAGGGCAGTTAGGTGGGGTCGATTTGTCGATAGAGTTGTCCTCCCTTCTTGCGTAACTCGTCAATTGGGGTGGCATTGTTGCCGAAAATTGATTTAGTCCCTAAGCCCAAACGTGTTATATGCATCTAAATATCTCTGTTTAGGTCCAAATATATGTAACATTTCTCAGGTATATATGAGGGATCTGTCATATAGAAGTATTGAGGTAACAAGCCTTTTTCTATGATATGTTTAATGCAGGAGGGGTTATTGAAAACTTATCCAAAACTCTCAAAACTTAGAATAAGGAATCATTTATTTTCTCTTCAAGTTATGAACTCATGGATTATGGGACAGTCTTCACGAGGATATCGTAACAGCACCCTCAATAAGTACTTTACACAAAAGACTATCTGGATTATCAAGAACTTGATTATTATTTCGGCTCTTACAATTTATGCTGAACTTGAGATGTTCATAAGTGCACGTATGTACTTTTTGAGAATGTGTTTGAGCCTGGTGTCGAGGATCATTTAGATCCCGTATCATGAAATAAACTTAATTGAATGATGGCGATGCTATTAGGTTTTACTGAACATGCATCTTTGTGCATTTCTAGGTGAGATTTGTGATTTCCAAGTGAGCAAGGATATGCAACCTGATGGTCTGGCACCTTACTTGAGCATGGTGCAGACATCCATACGGAGCTGCCTAGATAGCTGTGTTGGATCATGTCAGGCGGTGAGCTACAACTCCAGTGGCGCCCATTCCTGTTCCCTTTACAATCAGATCATCACCACGTTACAAACAAACCAGGGCGCAGTATTCTACACCAAAATATGTCACACTCCATCAGGTATGAAGGCGTTTAAAGTTAACACATTTAAAGAATATACATAATGGTCATGATGTTGTAATCGTATAAGATGTATCGTTTTAAAAAGGTTTAAAACAAGCATTAAACTGATTTTGTTTTAGTTTATTTGACATTATGAGATAAGATTAGCGACTGCCCAACGTAGGTCTCGAACCTGCGACCCAGTGGTGAAGGGATTAGTGGTAACAGAATGTCAGACGCATTAACCATTTTGCCACTGCAGCCCCATGATATAGGCGATATAAATACCACTTGTCAGGGCCGTTATAAACAATATCATCGTCATATATATAATGAGATATTAAGGCAGTCATTAAAACGTGAAAACCCACGTATTCAGGCAATCACTGACATTATCTTCATAGATATAATTTCACCACGTTATCTTTATTCAACTGCAAATATAACTATTTCTTCCTGATACACTTGTGAGTACTGTCTTATTAATTGCAGATGACTTCTACACTCCCTGGTTTAATTTGAATAACCCGAATTCAGGAAATGACAATGAAAGACGTAACGAAATAGAAATGGTAAGCCTATTTATAGTTGTGTGACCGCAAAACGCACCAAAAATAACCTGAGCATATCGTGCACACACCGTGCACACATCGTTCACACATGGTGCGCAAAACTATGCAATTTAACAATTCTTCGTCCCGTTGTGGGTTTCTCTCCGTATACATGTGCGATTTGGTACAAGTGGTTGATCGATATTACGCAATAAAAAAACGGAAGGCTCGCATTGAATAAGGAACAAAGTATATATACGTATCATCATGATATGGGAAGGCAAATCCTTAAAGAGTGTAGATTTTGTTGATCTCTGATATCTACTGATTCAGAATACTGCTTTCAGAATGACTGTTAGACTGTCAAGAATTGGTTTGATTCCTAGATAACATAACAGGTAAATCATATTTTGATGAGTGACCGGTGTTTTACCTGGGGCCCTGTGCCTGACATAGATAGATTATATATGAAACCATATGACTGTTATGAAAACACAACTGGACGCGAAGCATTTGTTATTTAGTCTATATGGTATATGGTCTTGAGGAGTTACGTAAGACCCCCGGTTGGGGAAAAGTACGGTCCGCGTGCATATACAATGTTGCTATGTTTACCTGTATATGAGACTATGTTTACGGTCCGCGTACATGTACAACGTTGCTTTGTTTACCGGTATATTAGACTATGTTTACGGTCCGCGTACATGTACAACGTTGCTATGTTTACCTGTATATGAGACCATGTTTACGGTCCGCGTACATGTACAACGTACAACGTTGCTATGTTTACCTGTATATGAGACTATGTTTACGGCCCGCGTACATGTACAACGTTGCTATGTATACCTGTATATGAGACCATGTTTACGGTCCGCGTACATGTACAATGTTGCTATGTTTACCGGTATATTAGACTATGTTTACGGTCCGCGTACATGTACAACGTACAACGTTGCTATGTTTACCTGTATATGAGACTATGTTCATGTATGTTTTAAGTTTACATGTGTTGATTTGAGTTGTTTAAAAAACACCGAAACACCATTTCTAAATTTATGAAAAAATGTAGAAAGATCAGCGAATATATGTAGCTATCAAGTTTCTGTGTTTAAACACGGAACCGTAAATATTGTTAAGCAATTTCTCAATTTACACCAACCACGATTGTCATCACACAACGTAATAAATAATAAACTTGTTTATGTATTACTGCAGCTGTATAAATCAAGACGTATGTCTTGTTAGCATTTTGTTCTAGACGTCTTTGTAAAATGTTGTACCCATTGTTTTGGTACGGAGAGAGAGTCTTGCAATACCAATGTTGTGCCTATTTTTGTAGGACGTTGTACGATTTTGTCACAAAATGCCTCAATGATTGCCTGTTGTAGTACGGTGTACGAGTTTGCTATGATTCAACACCCCTGGAAGCACAATGCAGAACTGCAGGGAACCAAACCGTTCTGGCTTCGGCAACAGGGGACAACTTCGCCCTTCAGTGTGGTGTAGAAGGATTGGAGTGTCAAAGTTCACCCTCCAATCCGTGCAATGATTATGAGGTCCGCTACAAATGCGCCATACACAAAGGTAACTACAGCAGGTATCTTTTCATGTAGGTTCAACTCGCCAAGATGACAGCTTTTCCATTCCAACTCACATGGAAGACAAATGATTCAACACACCTAAAAGAAAGGTGTGTCGTTAACTAATTAAACAGAACGCTGAGTTATGTTTTTCCTATGACCGCTAGACTTCATTTTACAGTGTAACAGTAAACCTGGAAGTACCAATACAATGTATGAAGAGGACAGAACATGGTATGTCATTTGCCAGTGTTAAACAAGATTGTGCAATATTGATGGTTACGATTGTTAACAATCAACACCTGCTCACAAGAGATAACTCTGCAATAAGCAAAGACGGAATAGGATTCCACCCGTACGTATGTTACACTCTTTATCATGGGTTTAGTGACTTCATTTCTCAACGGAATTCCATGAAACTTCATACAAGTGTTTGGTATGACAATACCTTGAATAAGATCGCGTTTCGAGTAACTACGTTGAAAGTCAAGGTCACTGTTTCTATTTTTAGAAAAAAACTTTGTTATCACTCTATCCTTAACAGAATTTCGTAATACTTTATACAATTGTTTGCCATGACAATACCTTCAACAGATCCAGTCACTAGCGCAGTTACAGTTACATCATTGAATTTTCTATTCATTTCCTCATACATTTGGCACACAATGTATGAATGCAAGGGGATGTGTATCACTTGTGATGCCCTATTTTTAGATAGATACAGTAGATCCAAAACAAATGTGAGGTGAGATTACCCTATATATGGAAAAAAGAACTCTCTAGTGTTTCGTCTACAGTGGGACAGGGATCCTTAAAAGACAAATTATAGATAAGAACCATCACTTGAAACCATAAAGCAAGTTTTCTGTTTTACTAGATGAGGCGGTGTGGTATTGTATAATATTTAGACACTTTATTGATATAAAGCAAGAATGAGAATTTGTATAAATTTTGCTCTTGGGTCATGATAATGATCACAACGCTTAAATGGTATTGTCTGTCTAATGATGAGTGTTTTATAAAGGATTTGTCTTTAGCAAGACTATATAAGTACTGAAGTAAACACACATTAGTATTATAGAAATGGTATAGCTTTGTTTCATGTAACAGGGAAAATAGACTGTTTGTATTATCATTAGAGACAGATTTCAGGGTTGGAAATTGAATGACAGATAAATAAATGAAAAATAGTGTCTGAAAAAAAGGAAAGAAGATTGTGCAGTAAAATATTTACTTTATGCAGATTCCTGCATCATAAACTGAGTTTTAAATAGGTGATCACGTACTTCCTATTTAGTCCCCATACAGTATTCGTTAATTAATTACAATTAGCACCAACTTTCTCCAGACATACACGTATAGAATGAACAGTTTTTTGCGTGTGAGACGAGGCGAGCTGCTGACCAAAGCCATGTTACTTAGCAAAGATATTTTATATTTTAATTTCAACTCAAGACATTTATCATCGTACTATCCTCTTTTGTAGTGTATGATAGAAGAACATGTCAGCCGAAAACAGATCACTGCCAGTCTAACCCGTGCCAGTTCAATGCCCCCTGCCAGAACACTGTAGGTGGATTCATATGTAACTGTCCCAGTGGCTTGTCCGGCTCCTTGTGTCAACACAACCCTGACGACTGTGTCTTTAACCAGTGTAACAATGGTGCCACATGTGTAGACGGTATCAATGGGTACACATGCACCTGTACATCAGGTTTCTACGGTAAGCTACCAATTACATACCTGTCATCTCAAATAGGTCATATCTCGTCTCGGATTAATTATTTATCAAATACACCCTGTCATCTCCAATAGGTCATATTGCTTCTCATGTAGGTCTTTCACTAAAAAAAAACCTATCGTCTCCTCTAGGTCATTTCGCTTCTCGGATAAGCCATTCACTAAAAACAAACCTATCGTCTTCCCTACGTGATTTCGCTTCTCTGATGAGCCATTCACGAAACACACACCTGTCGTCCCAAATTGGTCATATCGCTTCTTAGATAAGCCATTACCAAATATGCAGCTGTCATCTCCAATTGGTCATATCGATTGGCTTCTCATGTCAGCTATTCACTAAAAAACAAACCTATCATCTCCTCTACGTCATTTCGCTTTTCGGATAAACCATTTACCAAACACACACCTGTCATCTCAAATTGGTCATATCGCTTGGCTTCTCAGGTAAGGCATTTACCAAATATACAACTGTCATCTCCAATTGGTCATATCACTTGGTTTCTCATGTAAGCCATTCACTAAAAACACACATGTATTATCTACGTCATTTCGCATCTCGGATAAGCCATTTACCAAATACACACCTGTCATCTCCAATTGGTCATATCGCTTCTCAGTGAATTTATTACACCAAATACACCTCCAAAACTATCGGGCAGATTTCAACATTTATGACAAAAAAGGAACCAAGATCCTTGGGCATCTTATGGTTATTGATTGTATCGGTTTGATTTTCTGTAAATCAATTTGATCTATATATCTTTCTTTGGATTGTTGTTTCTCATTTCATACTATGTGTACTTGTTTGCTTTTGTATTAACTATTCCTAAAATAATCTATATCAAACATTTATCATACTGTACAAATGCAATTATTGAATTTCTATACGGCTCTGAAATATATAGTGAATACCCCTTTAGTTCAATCACAATAGTGTTGTTAGAACAGAATTTAGAAAAACAGTTTTGAGCAAAAGCAAGATTAACGTGTTGCTTTTCCGCCAGTGGAAGCGGCGACATTTACTAATTTCGCAGAATACATTTACTGCTAGAGTACAAGATTGATTAATGTGAACTCACTTTTATTCCTACAGGCTCTCTTTGCACCAACAATAAAAACGACTGTTCTCCGAACCCTTGCGACAGCCAAGGAACTGATTTCAATGGCTGCCAGGACGGCAACAACGAGTACACATGCCCCTGCAGCCAGGGGTTCACCGATAAAAATTGCTCTGTAAGTAGTAGTCACTGCCCGAAGTCAAACGCGTATTGATGATGTCAGGAAAAAGCTTCATGTTAATATTCTTATTGTGAATTTTAAAAGGCATGCGATGTTTTACGTTATCTGGTGAAACTGTAATAGGCATGCAATTTTTTAAATAAATAGATGGAATTGTTTGAGCACGAGATATTTGTCAAACAATTTTATAATTGATAAGGGTATGTGACGATTTACAGAATCATGACATCGTTTTACACTGATGGCTGTAATAGATCTTATTTCTCCAGATCAGTGTTAATTAATTGCATCCACTAAAAATATGTTGGACACTTTCGAAATGTGATTCATCGAGACAGCCTAAGAGTGTTATTTGGACGAGGTTTCTTGATATTTTCTGACAGCTGACTTTACTTAGTTATAGATTCGGGGCAACTGCTATTTGCACTCTTTACTTGACAAAGACAACAGACATTTTCAAAGCTCGAAACAACTCATTTACTGTTTGTGTTCTAAACAAACTAAGCATATGATATATCGTATATGTTAGCCTTATTTTAACATCAGAGTATCTAAAATGCTGTCTGTTGGTAGACTAACATCGACGACTGTGCTAGCAACCCGTGTCTTCATGGCGGCAACTGTACAGATGCAACAAATGGCTACAGTTGTGCATGTCCCAAGGGCTGGACGGGCGTTAGCTGTGATATCATAGAAGACCAATGTTATGCAAACCCTTGTCAGAGTGGGGCATTATGTTCACAGCTCTTCGATAGCTTCTTTTGCACGTAGGTATCAACATTCTGCTAAAATAATCAACATTGTTTTGTTAAATCCCCCGCATGAACGTGCAGTAGCTTGTATCCAAGTCTGTTCCTAGACAACTTTTGTTATCTTTTCATTCACTTTGCGTCACTATATCACTACCAAAGATTTGAGAGTGGTGCTATGTATGATTACTGTATGTAAGTTTTAATATTATAAAACATTTGTTATCACAACAGATGTCCTGAGGGTACATACGGTCAAACTTGTGAGCATAGCCCAAAGCTTTGTGAGGATAGCAACCCCTGCCTCAATAATGGCTATTGTACTGTAAACGGATCCACTGCTACCTGTACCTGCTCTTCCTGTAAGTAACAGACCAGGACTATTGCTTTTATATCCATGCCAATAGTTATCTTTATTCCGTTGTTGATGATGATGGTATTATTGTGGGTCACTCCCAATGCTTTAATTGATAATGTGGGTTAAATCATTAACGATCACTGCCAGTATTTGTATTAATTCTGTAGATTAATGTCGACGGTAAGATCATTATGGATCTCTATCGATGTATCAGGAAGAAATAGTTATATTTGCAGTTGAATAAAGATAACGTGGTGAAATTATATCTATGAAGATAATGTCAGTGATTGCCTGAATACGTGGGTTTTCACGTTTTAATGAATGCCTTAATATCTCATTATATATATGACGATGATATTGTTTATAACGGCCCTGACAAGTGGTATCGTTCAATAGATGGATGATAACGGTCTGATGAATGTAGATCACTGGCAGTATTTCATTAATTCTTTAGATTAATGATGACAGTGAGATCAGTATAGGTCTCTTTCGATGTTAATCTCAATTCTGTAGATTGATAATGACTGTCAGATCATTGTGGATCTCTTTCGATGTTTATCTTAATTATATGGATTGATGATAACTGTCGGACCATTGTGGATCTCTTTCGATGCTTAATTCTGTGGATTGATGATTACTGTCGGACCATTGTGGATCTCGTTCGATGTTTATCTTAATTATATGGATTGATGATTACTGTCGGACCATTGTGGATCTCTTTCAATGCTTAATTATGTGGATTGCTGATTACTGTCTGACCCTTGTGGATTTCTTTCGTCCTTAATTCTGTGGATTGCTGATTACTGTCTGACCCTTGTGGATTTCTTTCGTCCTTAATTATATGGATTGATGATTACTGTCGGGCCATTGTGGATCTCTTTCGATGTACAGCTTAATTATGTTGGTTGATGATTACTGTCAGACCAGTATGGGTTTCTTTTGATGCTAAATTCTGTATTATTAATATTGTTTTTGTAGACTGTAACGAGTGTCATACTGGAACACCCTACTGTATGTTTGCTTATCTTGTATCAATGTCATGTAATAATGTCTTTGTTGGTCTTGTTTCTGCAGACTATACTGGTGACGGTTGTCAGTCAATTGTTGACCACTGCAAGGATTCAGACTTCTGTAAGAATGATGGAAAATGTGAGAACCTCTCACCTGGCTTCAAATGCAGCTGTAAACCAGGTAAGACCATACCCACATACCTAACTAACCAGGTAGGACCACACTACCAGTACCATGTTACCATATGTAAACCAGCCAGGACCATGTTTCCATATGTAAACCAGCCAGGACCATGTTTCCATATGTAAACCAGCCAGGACCATATTACTGACGAATCGTTAACATTGTATATTTAGTTTCTGCCATGTCTTTGTGTTTCAGGTTTTGGTGGGTTGAATTGTGAGACCAACATTAATGACTGTTCTGGTAATACCTGCGCAGCTGATGCCACCTGTATTGATATGGTGCAGAAACACTACTGTAGATGTCCACTATTTAAAACTGGAGAAAACTGCAATAAAGGTACATCACCCCCTCTACCGTGTAATGAATATGACTAGAGTGTTAGCTATTTTCCGCATGATTTCTATCCCTTTAAGAAGGTTTGAAAGTATTATTAAACAGATTTCCCCCCGACAGCAGTATTTCGGAAGGACCAAAGTGAGCTTATGTCATACGTATCTCTCCAAACGGTAATTTCACCATGCAGATTTTAGCGACCTTTATGAAATCATTGAGGGGCAAGGCAAAAAGGGGAAAAACATGAAATTATTGAGATCCCCACCCTATTATCATAAACCCTACGTATAGGATATGAAGAGGCAATCATAATCATGCTTCAAGGATTTGCCCTGTAGTCCAACCCGCCCGTAAACTATTGCTTGCCATGAGAGACAACTACAGTTTAAGTCCAAGTGTTTCTTAGTGGGAATCTTTGACATTCTAATCTTCTGTCTATAAACAAAACATAATTGATCTCTAATCTTTTTCATAAAGTAATTTTGTACGTTATGAAATGGAAATGAGTTGTTTAAGAGTATAGCTTCTCTTGGGAACAGGCTCAAAATGGGTATTTTTTCGGAAAACTGCTTCCCCTAAACGATTGATCATACATTTATATCATAACATAATTTACTAAATGGCATCCTAGCGAGAGGGAATTCTCTTGGGACCAGGCTCAAAATGGGTATTTTTTCGGAAAACTGCTTCCCCTAAACGATTGATCATATATTTATATCAAAACATAATTTACTAAATGGCATCCTAGCGAGAGGGAATCAAATATTTCACATGAAGAAAGATAGTATCCTTGTCCCCTTGGTTAAGGAGAACGAGTCTAAAATGGTCAAATATTTGTTAAATCTCTATTAATGATTACAGCTAGCAATGATTGCTGATATATATAACTGATGATATTGACAGGAAATAGGTTACTGGTGGTATTGATACGTTATATGTTACTGCTAGTATTGATACGGTATATGTTACTGATAGTATCTCCACTTTTTGCCCAGATCTAAGTAAAGACTACGACCTTTGCTTCCACCTGTCTGATAAAACAGCATATGCAGCTCTGCCTTACCCTGTGCAGTTAGTCGGTGACTCCTTTTCTCTCACCTTGTGGGTGCGCTTCTCCAAGGACAATGGTATGGGAACCTTTGTCACGCTGTACTCCATGCCGTAAGTATCAAAACCTGTACATAGACTCGACGTGCTATTTACAGCCACCACTTTCTTTGCATAAGGAGCTTCGGTCTTTTTCAGAACTTTTAGTGTATCATGATTAGACATTAACAATAATAGCGCACAATGAGGTTTTTATCCGGTTATAATGTCTCTACTAGACACGCATAAAACCTCAATCAAAGTTGAGAGGTGGTGTATTGTCAAGAGTACCGGCTCACTACTCACACTGAACCACTTAATTACATGGTTTTATTTATTAATGTATATTTATATATTCATTTGTGGGATAAATCACACACCGACATCTATGATGATGTGATCGTACATACTTGATACTCTAACTGACTATAACATTTTACAAGTAAACATTCTAGATCTAGAATACTAACTTCCCAAAGGACAGGTATTGTTATACTGCTCTCATTTTCCAGATCTGCTGATAGTTTAATTGACTCTGGGAAATTTTTGGAGTTGGATGAAAATGGAGTGACGATCTATGAGGAGGGGCAGTCTCCAAAAAAGGCCGCGTACGTTTTTGAGAAGATAAATGATATGGACTGGCATCAAGTGACTGTCATTTGGCACGAGAATAAAGGTCTTAGCCTCATCCTAGACAGTCTGCACCACAAAACAATACAGAACGTCTACACCGGGAAATCTCTGAACATGAAGTGAGTGAAAACAAATATATATCCCCTCTGTAAAGCTAGACACTAACTTATCAAAAAGTTGTGTCAGTATTTTCTCCACATTGTAGAACTAGAAATAATGTGTACAGAGAAGTGATGTCAGTAGTTATCTCCCCATTAGATTATTTGACATAGTCTGTACCAAGAAGTAATGCCAGTAGTTACTTCCCTTTACACGTGTGTCAGTAGTTACTGCCACTTTACCAAACTTGAGATTATCTGCACAGAGAAGTGATGTCAGTAGTTATTGCCCCTCTTTAATCTGAACAAAATAATAAGACATTGAATTTTGTTTGTGACAAAATATCATTAATGTTGTACTGTAACAAGCCTTAAGAATGGCATTAAAAAGATCGAAGAATAATGCTATATCATAGCAACGTATGAATTTAATGTTAGATTAGTGTGACATGAGATGTAATAAGACTTTTGCTTTTACAGTGTCTGGGTTGTCCTGGGGGCCCAGTTAGACACAGCCACCTCCCAACCTATTGAAGATAAGGGTTTCTATGGATGTCTGAGTCAGATCAACTTGTACAACAGGGATTTGAACTTCAACGATGAAAGCCCTGTCATCATTAATGATCCACAGATCCATTTTAGTGGCGTGGTACTGGGTTGGAATGAGTATGCCCTGTACAGGGGTGTCAGTACCATTGTGCCGTCTTTTGTCTCGCTTTCTGAATGTTCTGGCAACCCTCTCTGTCCGACTGGCAAAGGTAATTTACACCAATACATTTATCAGTATAATTTACATCAATACCTTAATCAGTATAATTTACATCAATACCTTAATCAGTATAATTTACACCAATACCTTTATCAGTAAAATTTACACCAATACCTTCATCAGTATAATTCACATCAATACCTTTATCACTATGATTTACAACAATACCTTTATCAGTATAATTTACATCAATACTTTAATCAGTATAGTTTACAACAATACCTTTATCAGTAAAATTTACACCAAAACCTTTATCAGTAAAATCTACATCAATACCTTAATCAGTATAATTTACACCAATACCTTTATCACTATAATTAACCTTTTAATTTGTGTTGATGTCATAATACACTCTAAATCTGTATAAATGGTATGATGGCTGGGATCTAAATCTGTATGAATGGTATGATAACTGGAATCTAAATCTGTATGAATGGTATGATAACTGGAATCTAAATATGTATGAATGGTATGATAACTGGGATCTAAATCTGTATGAATGGTATGATAACTGGGATCTAAATCTGTATGAATGGTATGATAACTGGGATCTAAATCTATATGAATATCATGAATACTCGTGTTCAATTATTATGAAATAACTACTCGGGTTCAAAGTGTGTGTTGATGGCATGCACATGCGGGTTTAATTATGTATGAACGTAATGAATACTCAGGTTTAAGTCTCTATGAAAATCATGATAACTCGGGTTTAAATCTGTGTGAATATGATAAATAATCTGGTCTAAATCAGTATCAATGTAATGAAAATGTTAAAACTGTAAGAATGTGTTATGAATACTTGGCTTAAAACTTTTTAAATTTAATGATTACTCGGGTTTGAATCTCTGTAAAAGTGAAGAATTCTTGGGTTTAAACATGTGTGAATGTCATGACAACTCTGGTTTAAATTTGTATTGATGTCGTTACAGCTTTCCGTTTTCTCTTTTCCTGCTAAAACTGATTGTTTACTAAGTATATAATGATTATTGCCCATGCAGACAAAACACCGCCTGAATCACAGAATTGTCCCGATGATATCATCGTACACAGCAATCCTAAACCAGCGACAGTTAAGTGGCCAGAGCCAAGTTTCATAGGCTCAGCAGCAACTGGAGGCATCAAATCAAATTATAGAAATGGTAAGCATACAGTACCAACACTATAAATACTACTGAATCACAAAAGGCTGGAATTTGTTAATTATTGTTTCCTATTTATAGAGCACTGTGTCATGAATTTAAAACGATTGTGCCTCTGTTTATCGCATAGAATACTGAGAAATGAAAACAACTTAAAACGCATTTTTATTGAATTTTAATTATTGATATAACGTTTAAACATACATGACTTTTTTTGAAAAATCAGCTGTGTTTGTTTTACAGGGGAGACGTTCTTGTGGGGAAAATACACTGTGACGTATGAGGCGCGAGACGAGTCGGACAATGCTGCCTTTTGTTCTTTTGACATATATGTCCAATGTATGTAAAAACATATGTTCCATAACTTTATATTTGTCACTCGTTATCAACCAGATAACTTGCACTTTCAATGAAGAAAAGTGTTTGGAAAGCTTGAATTCAAATAATGCAATACATGGTAACTGTACTTTTCAGCCTAATTTATATTGATGTAGTGAAATATCCATCGGGGCTACTTCATTGCCTCTACATTGTTGTTCGTCCTAAATTCGTATTTCTTACAAGCTATATCTTGTAACAGATGAACTGTATTATGTATTCGAAACAGGAAGTACAGTAAGCTGAAATAATCAGCAATTAGAGAGATACATTGGGAAATCCCTAGTTAAAGATTTAAAACTGGAAAAACAATGGTTTGACCTCAGAGGAACACTTTCTGTATAATTATTGAAAGGCGCTGTTTCGAGTTTGAACAGATGATGTCCTCTAACTCCCCACAGTTGACTGATATTTACGTAGTGACTTAGGTAGGGCAGTACATGTTAGTTTTTTATGAAAAGAAAAACTTACTTTATCATTTCAGATGGCAATTGTTCCCAGCCTAAGAATCCGATAAATGGCTATCAGAATTGTGACAACATATACAGCTCGTATCACGGTTGTACCATTGGCTGTAACGATCCCACCGCACACAGAATTGACAGATATACACCCAATCTTTACACGTGTGGGCCCCTTGGCAGCTGGGACCCTGCAGACCGCTACCAGCAGGTCGGATACCCCTCCTGCGGACGTAAGTACAGGGACATATTACCTCTCGTAGACACAAGGTTATCTAACTTATATCCCAAATAGACAAAGGGTCATCTTACTCATATACTATAGAAAAAAGGTCATCTTACTCATATCCCATAAACACAAGGTCATCTAGTTTTTAAATCCCCTAGAAACAAGGTCATCTCGTTTATAAATCTCCTAGACACAAGGTCATCTAGTTTATAAATCCCCTAGACACAAGGTCATCTCGTTTATAAATCCCATAGACACAAGGTCATCTAGTTTATAAATCCCATAGACATAAGGTCATCTTACTCATATCCCATAGACAAAAAGGTTATCTTACTCATATCCCATAGACAAAAGGTCATCTTACTCATATCCCATAGACACAATGTCATCTAGTTTATAAATCCCATAGACACAAAGTTATCTTACTCATTTACCATAGACACAAGGTCATATTACTCATATCCCATAGACACAAGGTCATCTTACTCATATCCCAAATAGACACAACGTCATCTTACTCATATCCCATAGACACAAGGTCATCTAAGTTATAAATCCCATAGACACAAGGTCATCTTACTAATATCCCATAGACACAATGTCATCTAGTTTATAAATCCCATAGACACAAGGTCATCTTACTCATATCCCATAGACACAAGGTCATCTAGTTTATAAATCCCTTATATAGGGTCATCTTAGTTATATCTCTCGTACTTTTCTTTTTCTTCCATTCTTGAACCATTTTTAGGAAAGGGGCATAACTTAGTTGGTTGTGATAATTTCCATCACCTGGTATCACAACTTACACATTTTAAAATATATATTTTTCTCCTCGCCAATCTTAGTTTTCATGTATCTACTTAATGATTTTGTATCTTACTATTTAGAAATCGCTGAGCCTGTCAGGAAAAGTCTGTCCATTACTTTGACCTACCCCAACATAACAACCTCCAACTGTAACGGTATCAAGAATACACTTGTCCAGAAAACTCATGAGGCCATTGGTGAAATTAACACTGCTTACAGTGGAAATGCATGTAGCCAGCCAGACTGTGCCGACGTGATCATTAATGTGAGCTGTGCACGTGCCACGTTCAGTTTAAAAACCACCACTGAGTCCACGGTTACAGTCAACATTCCTATGGCTGAGTAAGTTCTAACAAGGTCTGGTCCAAACTAAATCTTTCAGACTTAAGTCGTTACATGTAAATGTACTGTTCGTGTGTATGTGGTATACGTTATTGTAAATGTTGTGCGTGTGTTATATAGGTGTTTGTGTCATACGTTATTATATATGTTATGTGTGTGTTTTATAGGTGTATGTGTTATACGTTATTATATATGTTTTGCGTCTGTTATATAGGTGTTTGTGGTATACGTTATTATATATGTTGTGCGTCTGTTATATAGGTGTTTGTGGTATATATTATTATATATGTTGTGCGTGTGTTATATAGGTGTATGTGGTATACGTTTTTATATATATAGTGCGTGTGTTTTATAGGTGTTTGTGGTATACGTTATTATATATGTTGTTGGTGTATAATATAGGTGTTTGTTGGACACGTTATTATATATATTGTGCGTGTGTTATATAGATGTTTGTGGTATACGTTATTATATATGTTGTGTGTGTGTGTTATATAGGTGTTTGTTGGATACGTTATTATATATATTGTGCGTGTGTTATATTGATGTTTGTGGTATAAGTTATTGTATATGTTGTGCGTGTGTTATATATGTGTTTGTGGTTTACGTTATTATATATGTTGTGCGTGTGTTATATCGGTGTTTATGCCATTCGTTATTATATATGTTGTGCGTGTGTTTAGGTGTTTGTGGTATACATTATTATATATGTTGTGGGTGTGTGTTATATAGGTGTATGTGTTAGACATTTATATATATTGTTTGTGTATTATACAGGTGTTTGTGTTTTACAATATTGTATATGTTTTGCGTTATATAGGTGTTTGCCTGACACACTAATTAATATGCTTTGTGTTTCCTATACAAGGGTTATACAGGTTATTTAGTCATGAGGAAGAGAAGAAAGGCATATATACACACAACTTATAACACAAACACCTGTATAACACACACACACAAATATAAATGTTTAACACATACACCATATGACAAAAACTCTTACATAACACATGCACATCATAAAATAATACTGTATAACAAAAACGCGTACATAACACATGCACATCATAACTAAAACTGTATAACAAAAACACGTACATAAAACATACACATCATAAATAATACTGTATAACAAAAACACGTACATAACACATGCACATCATAACTAATACTGTATAACAAAAACACCTTTATAACATGCAAAACCTATAAAAACATGCATAATGTACATGTATGCTATCTTTATAACACACGCACAAGATATATAATAAGGCTTTATACAAAACCTACTTTCCAGAAAAAGCTGTAAATCACACAACATCATCTGTATAACAAGCAAATTCGTGTAAGGAACAAATTATCATGTTGCACAATTAACTGGTTTAGTATAATATAAATAGTTATACTTAACGTGAACTAATTTATGACTTTGTAGAGCACAATGGAGCAAGTCAGACACTTCTGAAGTAATGGCAGCCGCAGATGTTATGACGCGCTACATCTTGGAATCAAGCTCATTTGACTATTCGGTGTGTACAATAGTTCAATCTGCTGATCTGCATTTACATATATTTTGCTGATTTGCATTAACCTTTATTGTATCAAATGTACTGTTTCGCAATGATTACATCTTGGTTGTTACTTTCATCATATTTATCCAATGGTCAATTAGTGAAAAATATCGTTCTTATTTCATAACCTGTAGTAATGTAAGCATGGATCACCTCACAGTAGGATTTCCAACTATGAACAAATTATGTCAGTTGAATTATAAGCTCACCTGGTCCAAAGGAGTAATTTGGCTATATTTCTACAAACGACTACTTCTGCAGAACTATGCACTGGATATCGATCATATTTAATCAAAAGCATTCATTGGATGTAGGGATTCAAAATTGTACAAATGGTGGGGCTGACCCCCCAGGGGGCTGAGGGTTGGGGCCAAAAAGGGTTATTTGTCTATATTGCTTTAATCGACTTCTTCTCTGGAACTAAGTGATGGATATCAACCATATTAGTCTGAAAGCATCCCTAGGTGTTGGGGATTCAAAATTGTACAAATGGTGATGCTGTACCCCCCAGAGGACTGAGGGGCGGGGCCGAAAAGGGGTAATTTGGCTATATTTCTACAAACGACTTCTTCTGTAGAACTATGGGCTTGATATCAATCATCTTTAATCAAAAGCATATATGGGATGCAGGGATTCAAAATTGTACAAATGGTGGGACTGACCCCCAGAGGGCTGAAGGCGGGGCCAAAAGGGGGCAATTTGGCTAGATTGCTATAAACGACTTCTTCTGTAGAACCAGCACTGGATATCGATCATATTTGGTCGGAAGCATTCATAGGAGGCAGGGATTCAAAATTGTACAAATGGTGGGGCTGACCCCCCAGGCTAAGGGTCGGGGCCAAAAAAAGTGAATTGCCTGGAAATGGTTGAGATCCCCACCATATAACCACATATACAATTGCTGAGTATAAAGAGAAGAATGCACATTTGCTTCCGGGATGGCCCTAGGGTCTGGCCCCACCCTTGGACACATAGTCCTTGGGCCATAACTTAAAAACGGTTGAGATCCCCACCCCAAAACTATATATACAAATACTGGGCATAAAGAGACGAATGCAGTCATGATATTAGAATAGACCCTGGGGTCTGACCAAACCCCTAGGGACCTAGTTTCTTAGTCACAGCTTGGAAACAGTTGAGATCCCCGACCTATAACCATATAGACAATTGCTGAGTATAAAGAGATGAATGCACATATGCTTCCAGGATGGCCTTGGGGACTGCCCCACCCTTGGAGACTTAACCCCTGGGTCATAACTTTGAAATGGTTAAGATCCCCACTCCAAAACTATATATACAAATGCTGGGCAAAAAGAGACAAATGCAGTCATGATATTAGAATTGATCCTGGTGTCTGGCCACAACCATAGGGACCTAGTTACTGAGTCACAGATTGGAAACAGTTGAGATCCCCACCCCATAACCATACATAAAATTGCTGGGTATGAAAAATCGAATACTGATATTTATGCTACAAGGATTGGCCTTGGGGTCTGGCATATTCCCATGGATCTCATTTGGAGAATATTCTGCCATGATTGCTTAGATATCCAGGTGAGCGATTCAGGCCCTATGGGCCTCTTGTCTAGGGATTACAAATATGGGATTTTCCTACCTTCTCTCTGAGGACACTTCCTAAATTTTACTCAAATCTCACAGATAATCAGCGTTTATATCCTGTTATTATGTTATGGCTCCCCTTTTCACTTTAACTTCCTTACGTTTACTTACATTTCACATTTTTTCGATCTGTTAAATCTGTTCCAGATAGGCCAAGCAATCACCCATTCAGAGCCACACACGATCACACTTGGGTCACTGAAGTGTGTTAAATATTTGCATCGCTGTAGATTAAGTGCATAAGACTGGTATTTGTAACCTGCCCTCATTTAAATATATATACTGATAACTTACTGAAAAATTCTGTAAATATAGGGATGACCTGTTTTGTCGACTTATCTGTAACTTACATTTGACTTTTTCCTCATTCATATACTTTTTCATGTTATATCGTATAACCTAAAAAATGAAGACAATACAGAAAGTAAGGACGTCAAATCATGAAATATTTTGTGCAGTAATTGCAATTATGACTACTGATTGTTGGAAGTGCTCGGCGATGAAATAACTGTGCCATGTTGTGCACTGTGGGTTTTTTTCTTCTTTCAGAAATGAATAAAATATTATCTTAGTACTAAAATGTATCGTCTATCTTCTTTTTTTTGAGGGGGGTTACGCTACATTCCGAAAACATTGTGCGCACTTTTGTGCGTTTATCCTGTTGATATATTTATAACCGTTGCGTTGTCTGACCCCTTGACCACTGCCATGTTATACACAAATGTCCTTGTCTTTGTTTCAGACATTCATTCCAGGAGGGATGTTTGATCTAAATAGTTTTTCTCTGAGTGTAGAAGACACATGCCCAGGGAACAACACTGCGATCAACGACCGGTGTGGTAAGTCATGTACATAGGAAAATCATTATTTTAATAGAAAAGTTACACCTAATAAATTTCAAGGATGTTATAGTTGGATAATTTATCAATGAAAATATTAAGATTCATCGTCTATATTCTGTGTAAGTGATGAAATAGGAATGATTCCTGTGTAGCTAAACCTACCTTTTTCACCTTTCACAGTTCGCTGTGGCCCTGGGAACTATTTTAATACAGCTACAAAGACCTGTCTCGACTGCCCGGTGGGCGAGTTTGTCGATGGATATGGTCAACAGTCATGTAATCCCTGTCCTGCTGGAACCACCACTCAGTCACCAGGGTCAGCAACGCAAACAGAGTGTAAAGGTCAGTCCTACAGTGTAAAGGTCACTCCTACAGTTTAAAGGTTAGTCCTACAGTCTTAAGGTCGGTCATACAGTGTAGAGGTCAGTCCTACAGTGTAACGGTCAGTCCTACAGTGTAAAGATCAGTCCTTCATTCTAAAAGTCAATCCTACAGTCTAAAGGTAACTCGTACTTTGTAAAGGTCCGTCCTACAGTGCTCATATCAGTCCTAAAATGTAAAGGTCAGTCCTTCAAAGTAAAAGTCAGTCCTACAGTGTTCATGTAAGTCCTACAGTGTCCATGTCAGTCCTACAGTGTCCTTGTCAGTCCTATAGTGTGAAGGCCAGTCCTACAGTTTAAAGGTCAGTCCTACAGTCTAAGGTCAGTCCTACAGTCTAAAGGTCAATCTCACAGTCTTAAGGTCAGTACTACAGTCGAAAGGTCAGTCCTACAGTCTTAAGGTCAGTTCTACTGTCTAAAGGCCAGTCTTACAGTCCAAAGGTCAGTCCTATAGTCTAAAGGCCAGTCTTACAGTCTAAAGGTCAAACATACAGTATAAAGGTCAATCTTACAGTCTAATGGTCTGTCCTACAGCCTAAAGGTCAGCCCTGCAGTCTTAATGTCAGTCCTACAGTATAAAGTTCAATCTTACAGTCAAAAGGTAAGTCCTGCAGTCTTAAGGTCAGCCATACAGTCTCAAGATCAGTCCTACAGTCTAAAGGTCAATCCAACAGTCTAAAGATCAATCTTACAGTCTTAATGTCAGTCATACAGTCGAAAAATCAGTCCTTTTAGGGTCAGCCCAAAAGCCTTAAGGTCAATCTTAAAGTCTCATGGTCTGTCCTACAGTCTTAAGGTCAATATAACTGTCTAAAGATAAGTCATACAGTCTAAAGGTCAAAATTACAGTCTTAATGTCAATCTTACAGTCTAAAGGTCAGTCGTACTGTCTAAAGGTCAGTCCTGCAGTCCAAAGGTCAGTCCTATATTCTAAAGGTCAATCTTACAGTCTGAAAGTCAGTCCTACAGTCTTAAGATCAGCCCTACAGTCTTTAGGTCAATCTTACTGTCTGAAGGTCAGTCCTACAGTCTTAAGGTCAGCCCTACAGTCATAAGGTTAATCTTACTGTCTAAAGGTCAGCCCTACAGTCTAAAGGTCAGTTCCACAGTCTAAAGGTCAAAATTACAGTCTTAAGGTTAACCTAACTGTCTAAAGGTCAGTCCTATAGTCCAAAGGTTAATCTTACTGTTTAAAGATCAGACCTACAGTCTACAGGTCAGTCTTACAGTCTTAAGGTCAATCCTATAGTCATAAGATCAATCTTATTGTCCTTCGGTCTAAAGGTCAATATTACTGTCTATAGGTCAGTCCTACAGTCTTAAGGTCAGCCCTACAGTCTTAAGATCATTCATATGGTGTAAAGGTCAGTCCTACAGTCTAAAGGTCAGTACTATGGCGTAAATGTCAGTTCTACAGTGTAGAGGTCAGTCTTACAGTCCAAAGGTCAATGTTACTGCCTAAAGGTCAATCCTATAGTCTAAAGGTCAGTACTACAGTCTAAAGGTCAGTCATACAGTATAAAGGTCAATCTTACAGTCTAATGGTCTGTCCTACAGCCTAAAGGTCAGCCCTGCAGTCTTAATGTCAGTCCTACAGTATAAAGTTCAATCTTACAGTCAAAAGGTAAGTCCTGCAGTCTTAAGGTCAGCCATACAGTCTCAAGATCAGTCCTACAGTCTAAAGGTCAATCCTACAGTCTAAAGATCAATCTTACAGTCTTAATGTCAATCATACAGTCGAAAAATCAGTCATTTTAGGGTCAGCCCAAAAGCCTTAAGGTAAATCTTAAAGTCTCATGGTCTGTCCTACAGTCTTAAGGTCAATATAACTGTCTAAAGATAAGTCATACAGTCTAAAGGTCAAAATTACAGTCTTAATGTCAGTCTTACAGTCTAAAGGTCAGTCGTACTGTCTAAAGGTCAGTCCTGTAGTCCAAAGGTCAGTCCTATATGCTAAAGGTCAATCTTACAGTCTGAAAGTCAGCCCTACAGTCTTAAGATCAGCCCTACAGTATTTAGGTCAATCTTACTGTCTGAAGGTCAGTCCTACAGTCTTAAGGTAAGCCCTACAGTCATAAGGTTAATCTTACTGTCTAAAGGTCAGCCCTACAGTCTAAAGGTCAGTTCCACAGTCTAAAGGTCAAAATTACAGTCTTAAGGTTAACCTAACTGTCTAAAGGTCAGTCCTATAGTCCAAAGGTTAATCTTACTGTTTAAAGATCAGACCTACAGTCTACAGGTCAGTCTTTTACAGTCTTAAGGTCAATCCTATAGTCATAAGATCAATCTTATTGTCCTTCGGTCTAAAGGTCAATATTACTGTCTATAGGTCAGTCCTACAGTCTTAAGGTCAGCCCTACAGTCTTAGGATCAGTCATATGGTGTAAAGGTCAGTCCTACAGTGTAAAGGTCAGTACTATGGCGTAAATGTCAGTTCTACAGTGTAGAGGTCAGTCTTTCAGTCCAAAGGTCAATGTTACTGCCTAAAGGTCAATCCTATAGTCTTAAGGTCAGTACTACAGTCTAAAGGTCAGTACTACAGTCTAAAGGTCAGTACTACAGTCTAAAGGTCACTTTTACTTTGTAAAGGTCACTTAGGTAGTAACAAAGTCACTTCTACCGTTATTCAAACAGTACAAAGGTAGCTCAAACAGTGTAAAGGTCACTAATACAGTGTAAAGGTCACTAATACAGTCTTAAGGTCACTAATACAATCTTAAGGTCACTAACACACTGGGACTCAGACTGTATGAATGTATAGTTTCAAAGTCATTTAACAGTTTAGAAACAATTCTGCTGTGTAGATGTAAAATTAATTACAGATGTATCCAATCTTACTGTTACTGTACATTCTAATGATTATTCTAATAACACCCTTGCTTTATTACTGGTCCCTGTACCATAGTTATTCTACTAAAACCATAACACAAGTTTAGGAAATAGTAGCAAATGAATTAAAGGGGTAAGACGCCAAAGCAATTATTCATACAACAAAAATGCATGAATTATTGTGACCATAAATTCCAAATAATACAGACAGTGTATGTACCTTAGGGCAGTTTGAACCGGGAGAACAAATGTGGTGTGTGTTATAATCCCAGAAGAACGAACGGCCAGTTCTTATGTTAATCATAACAATGTATATATATTTAGTTCTTTGTACACAACTTCCTTGGAACAACAGGTCATTGTCAAGGCGACATCTATATCATATTACAAAAACGGATTTATACTCCAGGTGTTGTATTTTCATTAAGTTAAAAATGTCCCGTCTAATTTTACAGCAAGCTGTTCAGCGGGTCACTATTTCAACATCAATGAGGATAAATGTGTTAAGTGCAGTATCGGGTTTTACCAGGACAAGACGGGTCAGTTCCATTGCCTACCCTGTGGCGCAGGACAAACTACCAGAGAAAATGGTTCCGTGGCCATCACTGCGTGTAAAGGTGAGTTGACATTTATTTGGTCACTAACCACTTACGGTATCACATCTCACATTAGTGACAAAACACAAAAGGATTGCTTCCTATATATCTATATATCTTAATACAAATATTATTATTGTCACCCAAAGATAGTTCATGATTACTCATGGAATATGGAAAACTCCCTTGGGAAAGCGACAAGCCTCACGTAAATGTAAATATTCGATCTGTATATCTTAATGACTATACTGGTATGCTTAATAATATACTGTAGCAAAGATCATCTTCAACAAATCATTAAGACGTAGCAGCCTATATATGTTGACTGCAGATACAATATTACATCTAGTGTTGACTCGAGAAAATAGGACTAAAATGGAGCAAACGTCAGCGGTGTGTATTCTCTATTTCAAAATGTGTTTTTCTATCTCTGTTTCAATGGTAAAATAAATAAAGGAAGAATAGTATTGTTGTTTTACTCTACAGCGACAATAACCCTGTTATTGAATGCATACTTTATATTTTATAATTGTAAGTGTAATTTCATAGGACGGATCCATATGTAATGTTGATGTTGTGTTGTAGACGACTGTCCGTCGGGTAAGGAGCTGCTGCCTACTGGAGGCTGTGTGCCATGTGCTACAGGATCTTACAGAACGCAGGGAGTGCAAAGTCTGTGTACGCTCTGTCCTTCCGGCTTAACGACGGAGGGAAATTCGTCAACGTCTATTCAAAACTGCAAGCTAGGTATGCCTTCACCTGATCAGTAGCGATCTAATAATATACCTATCTGACGGCTATATTATAGTTTTTACAAATTCTGTTTAACAATTATATTTGATATATAGCCTTTGAAACAGTAATATTGCTGAATACCAGTTGATGTAAACAACAGTTTGACGTTTTGTGTAGAACATATTTATCAAAATATGTTTTCTTTTTGTTGAACAGTTTCTTGTAATGCTGGATTCAAGAGGATGGGAAACAGTTGTGTGGAGTGTCCGATGGGCACGTACCAGCCAGAAAAGTGGCAGACAGTTTGTTTGTCATGTGGAGGTGACCGGTTTCGCACTGACCAGAATAAATCTGTCAGTAAAACCCAGTGCAAATGTAAGGTTCCCTCATCCAACCCATCTTGCACTCGCACACTATGACAAACTTAATGCCTTGACACGACTCTGTTTAGTAATGACTTTACTTGTAATATTAAATGGCTTATATTTGGCTAATGTAAACTTTGTAATGTCCTACAAATATTTCTTCCCTGGACAATTCGTCCATAAATATCATGTAAATTTGGTGAGGAAATAATAGAATAATTTACAGTCTTGGTAAGAAATAATGATATCTGCATTCGAAGGGGTAGATCCTTAAGTTCAAGCAACTTAATAATCTTTCCGAGAGTTGAGATTCCCTATCTCACCTCTAGGGTGTGAATGGATATTTTTATCTTATCCTGCTGATCCTGTCATACCATATATATTATATGGAATATTGCTGTTACAGGCTCTTAGCATTTTGTTGACATAAAGCTGTTGCTATGGTGATGTGATGTCATTGTGTTGTTGACTTGACGTCATATTGTTGTTATGACTGGGGTATCCCCCTGTCTCAACCCGAGCGTGAGACAAATAAGTCTAACACCGGTAAAAGTGTGAATACATCGGTCCATGTAACTAGAAACGCGTCCTCGCTCTTGTCAAATTCCATGCGTGCTTGATGATATACAGGACATTTGCTTTACAAATACGAATTATTTTTTATGCAAGGAAGGTAAGGGAGAAAAATAATTAATCGCTTCGGTGTGATGCAGACAATAACAACCCTCAGGTTAAATATTTGAAGTTGAGAAGTCGGCAAAGAATTGTGCCAACTTGAAAAATATTAAACTAGGTTTGGGATTTTGCTGTGATATATCAATTAGCACTGTACATATGTACTGTTAAGTATTTAACAGTTCATTTTGCATATTACGTTTTAATTTTCAAAGTCTTCACGTCTCATAATGTTTTTGTTTAACAAATGAACATGATTAACTTTACATTACAAAATGTTCATGAATAATTAGATACGCTGCTTTGTCAAGTTCAAACACTCCGCATTTTTATATACAGTTTTCTGTGAGAGTGGCTACGAAGTCAAGAACAACACATGTGTTGTTTGTCCAAATGGTTTCTACAAAGATAATAACCTTGATGTTTATGGATCCTGCAGACCATGTCCAAACAACAAATTTACACAGAACAATGCCTCTACCTCCGAGTCAGACTGTACATTCTGTAAGTATAAACCACCTCTCCACTGACTGTCATATACTGGCTGTATATTTACCCTCCCTTTATTTTTCTGTCTCTGTTTTTATTTATTAAGCTACCCCAATACAAAAGCAGGGGTCGTTTGTTTATATTACTTATATTATTCGCATTTTCGAGACAATGGCCATGTGATACAGATTTCGTTTCCTAATTAATATAACATTCATAATAGACGCTACGTGATCTGGTTCGTCACTTCACATTGGCCTGTAACTTTTTTACTGGTATGGATCCTAGTAAAAGTTGAACTTTCTATTTTTGGTTTTATTTCGCATTGATAGTGCTTTTGATTTATAGGGATTGAATCTTGTTATTTTACAATATATATAAGGGAAAATTAACTTACAATATAAGTAGCTACGGGGAATGAAGTGTGTACGCAGATTATATCAAGTTACATGACGTTTTGATCACTTTCATAATAATAATATTGTGTGTCTGATTTGGCCTGGAAGGAATAAATCAGGTTTTTGAATATTTGACAGTCATAACTGTATATCCCTCGTTGATTTTATTTGGATACATGGAATAAAGACAATCGTTATGCGGCCAAATGTACTAGACACACTTTCATGGGGTGGATACGAACCAGATATATCAATCACAAGATCACAAAGTATACAAAACGGAAACACTTGAACATGTTACTCTTTCTCTGTTTCATCGACCTTCTGTCAATAAAAGGTAATCCCAAATCTAACACCTTCACAACGTTAACAGCTATAACCTGTTCAGCTCATGACTATATTTAACAAGGTTTGTTTTGTTGCTATCAGATAAGTGCGGACCTGGGTACAAATCCAATGCAGCTGCCGACAACTGTGACATCTGTCCCAAAGGCTCCTACCAACCTTTAAGCAATCAGCAGTCATGTGAAGTGTGTGCGACGGACCAGAGCACGAGACAGGCCGGCTCAACAAGCTCGAACCAGTGTGAAAGTAAGTGAAGTCAATGTCTGTTGAGGAGTACTATTTGACAGGGATACGTGTTTTTATGATGCTGCTGAATGTTTTTATTATAAATATGCATATGATATTTTCTCCAATGAACACCATTATAAATTACTTTTATCCTTTTTT